GGGCATCCTCAAATGGAAGGTGGAGGAGTGCAAGGTCTCTACCATCCACCAGCTCCGTGATGTCAACATGCAGGAGTGGAAGAGGACTCCAGTGGCAACCTGTGAAGCTTTGGTGAACTCCATGCCCAAGAGGGTTAAGGCAGTGCTGGAAAATGATGGTGGCCACACAAAATATTGACACTTTGGGCCCAATTTTGACATTTTCACTTAGGGATGTACTCACTTTTGTTGCCAGCGGTTTAGACATTAATGGCTGTGTGTTGTGTTATTTTGAAGGGACAGCAAATTTACACTATTATACAAGCTGTACACTCACTACTTTACATTGTAGCAAAGTGTCATTTCTTCAGTGATGTCACATGAAAATATATACTCAAATATTTACAAAAATGTGAGGGGTGTACTCACTTTTGTGAGATACATACATACAGTGAGGGAAAAAAGTATTTGATCCCCTGCTGATTTTGTACGTTTGCCCACTGACAAAGACATGATCAGTCTATCATTTTAATGGTAGGTTTATTTGAACAGTGAGAGACAGAATAACAAAACAAAAATCCAGAAAAACGCATGTAAAAAATCTTATGAATTTATTTGGATTTTAATGAGGGAAATAAGTATTTGACCCCTATGCAAAACATGACTTAGTACTTGGTGGCAAAACCCTTGTTGGCAATCACAGAGGTCAGACGTTTCTTGTAGTTGGCCACCAGGTTTGCACACATCTCAGGAGGGATTTTGTTCCACTCCTCTTTGCAGATCTTCTCCAAGTCATTAAGGTTTTGAGGCTGACGTTTGGCAACTCGAACCTTCAGCTCCCTCCACATATTTTCTATAGGATTAAGGTCTGGAGACTGGCTAGGCCACTCTAGGACCTTAATGTGCTTATTCTTGAGCCACTCCTTTGTTGCCTTGGCCGTGTGTTTTGGGTCATTGTCATGCTGGAATACCCATCCACGACCCATGTTCAATGGCCTGGCTGAGGGAAGGAGGTTCTCACCCAAGATTTGACGGTACATGGCCCCGTCCATCGTCCCTTTGATGCAGTGAAGTTGTCCTGTACCCTTAGCAGAAAAATACCCCCAAAGCATAATGGTTCCACCTCCATGTTTGACGATGAGGATGGTGTTCTTGGGGTCATAGGCAGCATTCCTCCTCCTCCAAACACGGCGAGTTGAGTTGATGCCAAAGAGCTCAATTTTGGTCTCATCTGACCACAACACTTTCACCCAGTTCTCCTCTGAATCATTCAGATGTTCATTGGCAAACTTCAGACGGCCCTGTATATGTGCTTTCTTGAGCAGGGGGACCTTGCGGGCGCTGCAGGATTTCAGTCCTTCACGGCGTAGTGTGTTACCAATTGTTTTCTTGGTGACTATGGTCCCAGCTGCCTTGAGATCATTGAAAAGATCCTCCCGTGTAGTACTGGGCTGATTCATCACCGTTCTCATGATCATTGCAACTCCACGAGGTGAGATCTTGCATGGAGCCCCAAGCTGAGGGAGATTGACAGTTCTTTTGTGTTTCTTCCATTTGCGAAAAATCGCACCAACTGTTGTCACCTTCTCACCAAGATGCTTGGCGATGGTCTTGTAGCCCATTCCATCCTTGTGTAGGTCTACAGTCTTGTCCCTGACATCCTTGGAGAGCTCTTTGGTCTTGGCCATGGTGGAGAGTTTGGAATCTGATTGATTGATTGCTTCTGTGGACAGGTGTCTTTTATACAGGTAACAAACTGAGATTAGGAGCACTCCCTTTAAGAGTGTGCTCCTAATCTTAGCTCGTTACCAGTATAAAAGACACCTGGGAGCCAGAAATCTTTCTGATTGAGAGGGGGTCAAATACTTATTTCCCTCATTAAAATGCTAATCAATTAATAATATTTTTGACATGCGTTTTTCTGGATTTATTTGTTGTTATTCTGTCTCTCACTGTTCAAATAAACCTACCATTAAAATTATAGACTGATCATGTCTTTGTCAGTGGGTAAACTTACAAAATCAGCAGGGGATCAAATACTTTTTTCCCTCACTGTACATATATATATATATATATACACACACACACACACACACACACACACATCCTTTTAAAAAATATATTTCCCTTTATTACTTTCCAACCCCACCACTTCTTCCCTAATTGGAGTAAACTAGTGAACAACAATGCTTAGGCCTCTACTTCCAGCTTATACATAAATACATTTTATGGACACAGTCAATTTTAAAATAATTATATTTTGTTTGTTTTTACTCCTGAACTTCCTCTACCCTCAACCTATCAGATCATGTTCATGATGTCCTTCCGGTTTGCTTCTATATGCCATATCTTTCTAACTGTGCTCTTTCACAAAAGCTCTCAACCTATAACCTATATACTTATTATGGACACAGTATGCTTACATTATTAGTTATCTTGTTGTTATTAGTTGTTGTTAGTTATTAGACCCATCCTTCAACTCCATTCAACACCACCCATCTATCTCTTAACACCATCCATATTGGATTTCTATTTGCTATATATTTTTTAACTGTACTGTGATGTTTTACAAAAGCTCTGAACCTTTCTATTCTCATTGTTTCTACAGATTGTAAATTGAAAATATTTTTTTTTGCTAAAAGTATTATTATATTATTGATTATGACTATGACTTTTCAGATCACCCAGTAGTGCTATCTGCAGGGTTAGGTCCAGGTAAATATTGCAATCCTTTAGCCATTCCTGGACCAGGAATTTAAATAATTTAAATAGAAAAGTTTTGAATCCGGTGTTGTTTTGCGTATCAGTTCATAAACACTATGCCATGGAATCGGTACGTCAAATCTCTTTCCAACTATTTTGCAATCTATATGGGACGGCTGTCAATCAATTGGTCCTTAAATGAAACTGGAATACTTTTTTATTTATCCGTTTTCTTTAACAAATGATGTTCTTTAATGCAAGGCCGACAGACAAGTTCCTTACTTTTTCCCCGGCACCCCTGTTAATTGAAATGCATTCCAGGTGACTACCTCATGAAGCTGGTTGAGAGAATACCAAGAGTGTGCAAAGCTGTCATCAAGGCAAAGGGTGGCTATTTGAAGAATCTCAAATATAAAATATATTTTGATTTGTTTAACACTTTTTTGGTTACTACATGATTCCATATGTGTTATTTCATAGTTGTGATGTCTTCACTATTATTCTACAATGTAGAAAATATTACAAATAAAGAAAAAACCCTTGAATGAGTAAGTGTTCTAAAACTTTTGACCGATAGTGTACGTGTTCGTGAGAGACTCACCTTTACAAAGAGGGGTCATACCACCTTGCATCCCACTGCTGGCTTGCCTATGAAGCTAAGCAGGGTCGGTCCCTGGATGGGAGACCAGATGCTGTTGGAAGTAGTGTTGGACGGCCAGTAGAAGGCACTCTTTCCTCTGGTCTAAAGCAATATCCCAATGCCCCAGGGCAGTGTTCGGGAACATTGTCCTGGGTAGGGTGCTGTCTTTCGTATGAGACGTTAAGGTTCCATGGCACTTATTGTAAGGGTGTTATTCCTGTGTCCTGGCTAAATTCCCAATCTGTCTCTCATACCATCAGAGCCACCTAATCATCCCCAGCTTCCAATTGGCTCATTCATCCGTGTAACTATTCCCCAGGTCGTAAATGTAAATGAGAATGTGTTCTCAGTCAACTTACCTGATAAAATATATATCTTAGTGTGTAGCCCAAATTGTTTGGACGCTACAGACAGAAGTTGGCAGATCGGCGGTACGACTTCATACGAGGCCCGTGACGCTTGTGGGGGTCATAGAGCAAAACCACTGACATGTACGCGAGAGCCTCGTCTTTCCAGAGAGGGGTCATAATAGTTTTCATGAGAAGACCGATTTTCGAGATGTCTCATGGTCTGACAAACACTGCTGTAGCTCTGCCACCTTTCACTGCAGATGCGGTGGATTGGGATACAGCCCATGCAGATATCTTTAGCTTAAACAGACAGATGTTCATGGGGATTTTTTTATTATTACGCTAATTCCATTTCTGTGGAGCCACAGAAATCGACTCAAGAGGGTTTAGAAGGAACATTATGTTTTGTACCTCAAAGTCTATATACTGCTCCTCAGACAGGGATTTCTTAGCCACCACCAGGGTCCGAAGCCCTTCCCTGGCCATGTTCCCACACTGTTAGCAAAAGAGGGGATTGTTAGGAGAGAGGGATGTAATATGATAAAAAATATTAATTACTGAACAATTGTAGGGACACCAACTCAATCTCTATATTCCAGTCAGATATTTTTCATTAAACAAACAATATGTTTTAACAAATTTCATATGGCATACAGTAGGTTAAACATAGGCTGTATCGTATACAGTACAGGCATAGATCATTTCATCTAATTGAGAGTCCGCTGCATCAGAACAGTCAACCAACAACAACAGAAATCAATGGGGAATAAAGCCGCCTCGGGGCAAAGTTCAGAGGACACAATAAAACCCACAGATGGCGGTTTCTTTTTTATATGAAATGCCAATGAGCTGAAACTGACGCGCTGATTGCTTATTGACATGGTACCAATATAGCACCACTGCTTGGACAGTCTGCGGGATATTACAGTCAATGGAACATCATTAACACCATTGTTAGGAATATGACATACTGTCTGCGTCCCAAATGGCACCCTATTCCCTATACAGTGAATTATATTAAACCACAGCCCTGGTCAAAAATAGCACACTAAATAGGGAATAGGGCACAATTTGGGATGCAGACACTAATGCCTCCTAGGAAAGGAATGCACTTCATGTAGGTCACTAATTAAATCAAAAACAGCCCCTGGTCGAAAATGGCTCAATATTGCCAATACAATTATGAACATACAGTATTGCACACCCAGTCATGGGTGGGCCTGTTGATCTTGTGATGAATGAATGTCCTGGTTAACAACTGAGGTAATTAGCCTGCATGTGTTAGATTAATTTTATTCATATAAACACAGCCTGGATGGACGCCTTACCTCCTCCTCCAGCCAATCATTGTACTGCAAGATACACGCCATGGCAACATCAGCGCCCTTCATATAAAATGTGATGTCACCTGTGGTCTCCTCCTAGATCAAAATATGAACAAAATTATAGATGTATAATCATATAAAAAGCATTTCAGTGCCATATCATACTAACACCAGACCTGAATTCAAATACTACTTTCAAATCTTTCAAATGCATTGAATGTTTGTGTTAACCTGCCTAGATGGGGTTTGCACCTTTCTGACTTTTCTATTGGTTCCATTGCAACAGGAAAGCTCAATCAAGCACAGCTTAAGTATTTTAAATGATTTCAAATAGTATTTAAACCCAGGTCTGACTAACGCACACACACACACATTGTTACCACACATGTAATGGTCAGCAAAACTAAGTCCATACCCGGACGATGATGCCCATCCTCTTGCTCTCGGAGGTGAAGGGGAAGATCTGCAGGATGTTGTAGGTTAGGATCTGTCCTGCTGGGGTCTTCAGCTGCAGGGAGGTCAGGTCCCTGTTCACCAGAGTCAGGCCTACGCTCTCCGTCCACCGCACCAGCGCCACCTGAAGAGGAGCAACACAGTAAGGTCAGGAACACTATCTGCACTACTAGACAGACCCAAGCCCTCTGCTCCTCTCATTAGGGGCTAGCTATGGGGCCACATAGAGGGTTCAACAGGTCAAGGTTAGGGTCGGTGTGTAATATCCCAATGCCCCAGGGCAGTGTTCGGGAACATTGTCATGGGTAGGGTGCTGTCTTTCGTATGAGAAGTTAAACGGTTGTCCCGACATGGTCAGCGGTCAACTTCCTGATCGCCCTGAATCAAATCAAACACATGACAGTAACTGGTTCATTGTTAAGTATCATTCACAGCTGAGAGGGAATACAATGAGACACAGAAGGTTGTTGTTGGCCTCATAGTAACAGAAGGACTATTAACTATAACTCAGTGGCCAATTATTACACAATAGAAGGAGCAGGATGGTGAATAATACTGAAGTCATAGGCTATGTTTTAGATTACGACATATGGTGAAGGGACAACACCAACATAAAATACCTCATGTAATATACAGTGAGGGGAAAAAAGTATTTAATCCCCTGCTGATTTTGTACGTTTGCCCACTGACAAAGACATGATCAGTCTATAATTTTAATGGTAGGTTTATTTGAACAGTGAGAGACAGAATAACAACAAAAAAATCCAGAAAAACGCATGTCAAAAATGTTATAAATTGATTTGCATTTTAATGAGGGAAATAAGTATTGACCCCTCTGCAAACCATGACTTAGTACTTGGTGGCAAAACCCTTGTTGGCAATCAAAGAGATCAGACGTTTCTTGTAGTTGGCCACCAGGTTTGCACACATCTCAGGAGGGATTTTGTTCCCACTCCTCTTTGCAGATCTTCTCCAAGTCATTAAGGTTTCGAGATTGACGTTTGGCAACTCGAACCTTCAGCTCCCTCCTCAGATTTTCTATGGGATTAAGGTCTGGAGACTGGCTAGGCCACTCCAGGACCTTAATGTGCTTCTTCTTGAGCCACTCCTTTGTTGCTTTGGCCGTGTGTTTTGGGTCATTGTCATGCTGGAATACCCATCCATGACCTATTTTCAATGCCCTGGCTGAGGGAAGGAGGTTCTCACCCAAGATTTGACGGTACATCATCCCTTTGATGCGGTGAAGTTGTCCTGTCCCCTTAGCAGAAAAACACCCCCAAAGCATAATGTTTCCACTTCCATGTTTGACGGTGGGGATGGTGTTCTTGGGGTCATAGGCAGCATTCCTCCTCCTCCAAACACGGCGAGTTGAGTTGATGCCAAAGAGCTCGATTTTGGTCTCATCTGACCACAACACTTTCACCCAGTTCTCCTCTGAATCATTCAGATGTTCATTGGCAAACTTCAGACGGCCCTGTATATGTGCTTTCTTGAGCAGGGGGACCTTGCGGGCGCTGCAGGATTTCAGTCCTTCACGGCGTAGTGTGTTACCAATTGTTTTCTTGGTGACTATGGTCCCAGCTGCCTTGAGATCATTGACAAGATCCTCCCATGTAGTTCTGGGCTGATTCCTCACCGTTCTCATGATCATTGCAACTCCACGAGGTGAAATCTTGCATGGAGCCCCAAGCCGAGGGAGATTGACAGTTATTTTGTGTTTCTTCCATTTGCGAATAATAGCACCAACTGTTGTCACCTTCTCACAAAGCTGCTTGGCGATGGTCTTGTAGCCCATTCCAGTCTTGTGTAGTTCTACAATCTTGTCCCTGACATCCTTGGAGAGCTCTTTGGTCTTGGCCATGGTGGAGAGTTTGGAATCTGATTGATTGATTGCTTCTGTGGACAGGTGTCTTTTATACAGGTAACAAACTGAGATTAGGAGCACTCCCTTTAAGAGTGTGCTCCTAATCTCAGCTCGTTACCTGTATAAAAGACACCTGGGAGCCAGAAATCTTTCTGATTGAGAGTGGGGTCAAATACTTATTTCCCTCATTAAAACGCAAATCAATTTATAACATTTTTGACATGCGTTTTTCTGGATTATTTGTTGTTATTCTGTCTCTCACTGTTCAAATAAACCTACCATTAAAATTATAGATTGATAATTTCTTTGTCAGTGGGCAAACGTACAAAATCAGCAGGGGATCAAATACTTTTTTCCCTCACTGTACCTAACATAATATACCTACCTATGACAATAATCTACATAGACTGAATCTCATATCAGGAAGTAGGCTAATGCAATTTGTCAAATTTGTTATGCAGGATCATTACGATGCTAGATAAGCAAAGAAATATGCACATTTGTATAATTTGTTTGTCCAATAATGTATATAAAATGACCCTAAGTATCACTTGTGCTCAAAAAGCATAAAAGGTAACAGGGTCAATAATTGAAACAGAAAGGCATGCACTAAAACTGGCCTCTACTTAAAGCTGCAATATGTAACGTTTTGGGTGACCCGTTATCGATCTGTCATTCTCACTGAAAGCAAGTCTAAGAAGTGGTAGATCTGTTCTATGTGCACTATTTCTATGCTTCCCATTCTTGTGCTTTTTTAACTTTCGGTTTTGTACACCAGCTTCAAACAGCTGAAAATACAATATTTTTGGTTATTGAAAGAATATTTCACAGCAGTTTAGATGGTAAAATGACTCTCTACACTATGCATTGCTTGTTTTATCACATACAGTTGAAGTCGGAAGTTTACATACACTTATGTTGGAGTCATTGAAGCTCGTTTTTCAACCACTCCACAAATTTCTTGTTAACAAACTACAGTTTTGGCAAGTCGGTTAGGACATCTACTTTGTGCATGACACAAGTAATTTTTCCAACAAATGCTTACAGACAGATTATTTCACTTATAATTCACTGTATCACAATTCCAGTGGGTCAGAAGTTTACATACACTAAGTTGACTGTGCCTTTAAACAGCTTGGAAAATTCCAGAAAATGATGTCAGGGCTTTAGAAGCTTCTGATAGGCTTATTGACATCATTTGAGTCAATTGGAGGTGTACCTGTGGATGTATTTCAAGACCTAAATTCAAACTCATTGCCTCTTTACTTGACATCATGGGAAAAATCAAAAGAAATCAGCCAAGACCTCAGGAAAAAAATTGAAGACCTCCACAAGTCTGGTTCATCCTTGGGAGCAATTTCCAAACGCCTGAAGGTACCACGTTCATCTGTACAAACAATAGTACGCAAGTATAAACACCATGGGACCACCCAGCCATTATACTGCTCAGGAAGGAGACGCATTCTGTCTCCTAGAGATGAACGTACTTTCGTGCGAAAAGTGCAAATCAATCCCAGAACAACAGCAAAGCAAGACTACGGTTTGCAACTGCACATGGGGACAAAGATCGTACTTTTTGGAGAAATGTCCTCTGGTCTGATGAAACGAAAATAGAACTGTTTGGCCATAATGACCATCGTTATGTTTGGAGGAAAAAGGGGGTGGCTTGCAAGCCGAAGAACACCATCCCAACTGTGAAGCACGGGGTGGCAACATCATGCTGTGGGGGTGCTTTGCTGCAGGAGGGACTGGTGCACTTCACAAAATAGATGGCATCATGAGGAAGGAAAATTATGTGGATATATTGAAGCAACATCTCAAGACATCAGTCAGGAAGTTAAAGCTTGGTCGCAAATGGGTCTTCCAAATGGACAATGACCCCAAGCATACTTCCAAAGTTGTGGCAAAATGGCTTAAGGACAACAAAGTCAAGGTATTGGAGTTGCCATCACAAAGCCCTGACCTCAATCCTATAGGAAATCTGTGGGCAGAACTGAAAAAGCGTGTGCGAGCAAGGAGGCCTACAAACCTGACTCAGTTACACCAGCTCTGTCAGGAGGAATGGGCCAAAATTCACCCAACTTATTGTGGGAAGCTTGTGGAAGGCTACCCGAAACATTTGACCCAAGTTAAACAATTTAAAGGCAATGCTACCAAATACTAATTGAGTGTATGTAAACTTCTGACCAACTGGGAATGTGATGAAAGAAATAAAAGCTGAAATAAAATCACTCTACAATTATTCTGAAATTTCACATTCTTAAAATAAAGTGGTGATCCTAACTGACCTAAGACAGTGCATTTTTACTAGGATTAAATGTCAGGAATTGTGAAAAACTGAGTTTAAATGCATTTGGCTAAGGTGTATGTAAACTTCCGACTTCAACTGTAAACTGAAATTACGCTAACTTTTATAATTTTTGCAACCAGGAAATGGTGGAGCGATTTCTGCATATAACAGACCTGAACTAACAAGGTTATCATAATTAATGGGGATCTTTGTGTGGGTGTGTGTGCTGGCGTGCGTGTCCCTTCCCCCCAATAATAGGGCATACACTCAACCGCAGATTCATGTAAATAACCTACACATCCATGCTCAATGTGCCAAAATAAATATTTTCTGTGGTTTAACAACTGGTTATATTACAAACCATTGAACCCCAAGAACATGCTTTGCATTTCAAAAGTGTTCAGTACATCACTTTACTGGATATAACCCAAAATCCTGAATCATCATCCACTGTCGTAATATTGATTGTTTGTTGCCTTACAAATACTATGTATACAATGGTCAAAGTGCCTTATCTCTGGAGTGGAGTCTGGACACAGTTCATTCACAAACAGAGGAGTGTTTTTCTATTTGTCTTTTCCCTCCTCTCCTCAGCAGGAACTCCCGCCCCCCAAGTGAGCGTTCAGCTACACACGACTCAAATCTCCACGGGCTAATTTTTTTAATTTACTCCTGACCTACAAATTGGAACTGATTGCTAATACCCCATCATTTCTTTCTGGTTCCCCTTTGAGGTCCGTGTTGGGCTGGCTATATCCACACAACTGTGGATCATAATCGCATTGGCGCACGTGCAGCAAGAACGTGTATACGCGCACGCACACAGTCAGGATCTAATACCTACCTCCTCAATCTAGTTTATCAGCTCCATTGGAATTATTTAAAGCCATGTCAACTTAGATACAAACTGTATGTGAATCATGTGTTACAAGAAATTTAAGAGACTACCCGTGACTACTTTACGACAATGGCAGACCGGTTTAAACTACCCAATCAATCATTTGAATACTATTCCCAACATTCTAGTGATCATGTACAGTACCAGTCAAAAGTTTGGACACACCTACTCATTCAGGGGTTTTTCTTTATTTCTTACTATTTTCTACATTGTAGAATCATAGTGAAGACATCAAAACTATGAAATAACACATACGGAATCATGTAGTAACCAAAAAAGGGTTAAAATCAAAATATATTTTATATTTGAGATTCTTTAAAGTAGCCACCTTTTGCCTTGATGACAGCTTTGCACACTCTTGGCATTCTCTCAACCAGCTTCATGAGATGTGCCTAGTTAAAAGTTAATTTGTGGAATTTCTTTCCTTCTTAATGCGTTTGAGCCAATCAGTTGTGTTGTGACAAGTTAGGGGTGGTGTACAGAAGATAGCCCTATTTGGTAAAATACCAAGTCCATATTATGGCAAGAACAGCTCAAATAAGCAAAGAGAAATGACAGTCCATCATTACTTTATGGCATGAAAGTCAGTAAATCTGGAAAATTTCAAGAACTTTTAAAGTTTCTTCATGTGCAGTCGTTGTCTGGTTAGACTGTAAACTCAACTTCCAGACTCGCATAAAGAATCTCCAATCCAAAGTTAAATCTAGAATCGCTTCCTATTTCGCAACAAAGCCTCCTTCACTCATGCTGCCAAACATGCCCTCGTAAAACTGACTATCCTACCGATCCTTGACTTCGGCGATGTCATTTACAAAATAGCCTCCAACACTCTACTCAGCAAATTGGATGTAGTCTATCACAGTGCCATCCGTTTTGTCTCCAAAGCCCCATACACTACCCACCACTGTGACCTGTACGCTCTTGTTGGCTGGTCCTCACTACATGTTCGTCGTCAAACCCACTGGCTCCAGGCCATCTATAAATCACTGCTAGGCAAATCCCCGCCTTATCTTAGCTCCTGCGCTCCAGCAGGTATATCTCACTGGTCATTCCCAAAGCCAACACCTCCTTTGGCCGCCATTCCTTCCAGTTCTCTGCTGCCAATGACTGGAACGAATTGCAAAAATCTATGAAGCTGGAGACTCTTATCTCCCTCAATAACTTTAAGCATCAGTTGTCAGAGCACCTTACCGATCATTGCACCTGTACACAGCCCATCTGAAATTAGCCCACCCAACTACCTCATCCCTATATTGTTATTTATTTTGCTCTTTTGCACCCCAGTATCTCTATTTGCACATAATCTCTTGCACATCTAGCATTCCAGTGTTAATACTATTGTAATTATTCTGCACTATAGCCTATTTATTGCCTTACCTCCATAACTTGCTACATTTGCACACACTGTATATATATTTTCTGTTGTATTTTTGACTTTATGTTTTTTTACCCCATATGTAACTCTGTGTTGTTTTTATTGCACTGCTTTGCTTTATCTTGGTCAGGTCGCAGTTGTAAATGAGAACCTGTTCTCAACTGGTTTACCTGGTTAAATAAAGGTGAAAAAAAAAAAAAAAAAAAAAAAAACATCAAGCGCTATGATGAAACTGGCTCTCATGAGGACCGCCACAGGAAAGGAAGACCCAGAGTTACCTCTGCTGCAGAGGATAAGTTCATTAGAGTTACCAGCCTCAGAAATTGCAGCCCAAATAAATACTTCAGAGTTCAAGTCACAGACACATCTCAACATCAACTGTTCAGAAGAGACTGCGTGAATCAGGCCTTCATGGTTGAATTGCTGCAAAGAAACCACTGCTAAAGGACACCAATAAGAAGAAGAGACTTGCTTGGGCCAAGAAACACGAGCAATGGACATTAGACCAAATTTGAGATTTTTGGTTCCAACCGTGTGTCTTTGTGAGACGCAGAGAAGGTGAACGGATGATTTCAGCATGTGTGGTTTCTACCGTAAAGCATGGAGGAGGAGGTGTTATGGTGTGGGGATGCTTTGCTGGTGACACTGTCTGTGATTTATTTAGAATTCAAGGCACACTTAACCAGCATGGCTACCACAGCATTCTGCAGCGATTACGCCATCCCATCTGGTTTGCGCTTAGTGGGACTATTATTAGTTTTTCAATAAGACAATGACCCAACAGACCTCCAGGCTGTGTAAGGGCTATTTAACCAAGAAGGAGAGTGATGGAGTGCTGCATCAGATGACCTGGTCTCCACAATCACCCGACCTCAACCCAATTGAGATGGTTTGGGATGAGTTGGACGGCAGAGTGAAGGAAAAGCAGCCAACAAGTGCTCAGCATATGTGGGAACTCCTTCAAGACTGTTGGAAAAGGATTCCTCATGAAGCTGGTTGAGAGAATTCCAACAGTGTGCAAAGCTGTCATCAAGGCAAAGAATCTCAAAAAATATATATATTTTGATTTTTTTGGTTACTACATTCCATATGTGTTATTTCATAGTTTTGATGTCTTCAATATTATTATACAATGTAGAAAATAGTAAAAATAAAGAAAAGACCTTGAATGAGTAGGTGTCCAAACTTTTGACTGGTACTGTATTTCAAAATGAAATTAACAGCAGCTAAGCATTTCATGATGAAAATGGATCTGTAATAGCTCAATTCTTCCCACCATGTCATTACCAATCAAAACTAGGATTTTAAAAGCACTTGCTAAATATAATTATCTTAATTGATTTAGGGTGGTCAACATTCAAAATACTATCTTGTAGCACTAACTTGTAGCTATCACATTAAAACTGTGCATGTATATAAATCATTCATGCATGCCGACTGACTCTGTAGATAAATGTCCATCTTTGCAGTTTTATTTGGTCTCCTATTGAAAGGGGTCAATCAGGGACTTGTATATGCAAGTGATAATACTCAACAAACCAAACAAATTGTTCCTTTGCCTGGTACTCCCATTGGGGTCCACTTTTTCCATCGGATATCCAATTAACTCATATTGGAGATGATAAACTGCTACTTCATGAGACTCCACGGTCATTATAGGCCCTGGTCAAACATTCTCGGGCCAGTCCCAAATGGCACCCTATTCCCTATAGGCCCTGGTCCAAAGTAGAGGACTACATAGGGAATAGGTTGCCATTTGGGATGCACCCCTCTTCTGACATCACAGGGTCAGAGATTAGAGCAGGGCCCTCATCACAGCATGGTTGACCAGCAGGTCGACTGACCCTGACCTCTGACCCCAGGCCGGCCACCTTCATCTCCTTAATGACAGATCATTAGATTAGAGAGGGAGAGTGAGCCAGCCAATGAAATATGGAGCTCATAGTGCTGCACTGACTGGGCTCTGACATTGCTGTCAATGAGGCTGAGAGAAAGAACAAAGAGATCATAAAAGAGAGTGGGGAAGAAAAAGAGTGAGAGAGAGAGACATGTGAGTAGAGATGGAGCGGAAAAGAGAGAAGTAGGGGTGAGACTGAACAACCACAGACCCCTCTCATCGTCTCTCAGAGAAAATTTAATATTGATCAATCCAAGCAGTACCAGACAATAGGGGGAGATGGAGCCAAGTGTAAAAGGAAATAAATAAATATACACATCAAGGCGGGACAGGATGGACGAGCAGGCAGGCAATTCCAGAGCAGACAAAAAGGGAAACCTTTTATCATCATTTTGACTTCTAGGCTGAGCTGCGCTGGGCTCGAGCCTAGCGCAAGCCAAGGTAAGTTTCACAAAATCATTGTGTCATGGGTGAAAACACTCCAATGGTCCTGAACACTGTACAATATGGGGGGGGATTAGCGATCCTTTGATATGTATTGAATATTTATGACAAAGTTATATAACGAAGAAACCTCTCCTTGTTCCCTGTGTGTATTCCATATTCATCCAGGACTTTCTTGGATTTCTCTAATAACAGCGGCCATATTCCCATCAGAAAGGGCAGTAAATGATGGGGTAAGCAGCACCTGGTACTGGTGGTCATAAATGGTCCTACTTTACATTACACAGACAGACAGGCAGAGGAAGGTGACGCCACGGGACTGCCGTTGGGGTCGTTATCAGTACAGATTCTTCCTACAATTAGAGCTATAAATTATAAAGGACAAACACTGCTGATTAAACCTCTGACAACTTTATGACCTCGGAGTTAATGGCCATTCCATGAGGCCCAGGTTATGACAAACTACAAAGGTAATTTAGTGTTGAAGGCGGAAACATCAGAGAGAAGCCTGGGTCGTATTCAGTAGCCAATAAACGGAAGAAAATGGACTGAAACAGGGAGCGACTACCTGAACTTGACCAATAAGAAACGCTTGTTTTGGTTTTCCGTTGCAAAACGTCTTGCTACGGTGTTACCTACGAATAGATCTCTGTGGAGTTTAGAGCTGACCTCGTCAGGGCTGGAGGCCTGGTAGGTGCGGTTGTCGTCGCTGAAGTCCTGGTCGGCCTCGACGCTGGCGAAGGACTCATAGACGGGTGTGACGTTGTGGCACAGCGCGATGGCCTTCACCGCCTCGTGGACGCGGCTGCTGACGCTCTTGCGGACCTTGGGGGCCGGGGCTGGCTGGGGCTTCCTGGACGCGGTGGAGCTGGTGCTGCTGTTGCTGCCGTTGGACTGCTGGGTCTGGGTGCTCGGTGTGGAGAAAAGTAAACCACATTTATTATTATTATTCTGCATACAGGGAGTGGACTATGATGACATGAAAAACAGACATTCCCTAAGGGGAATTCCACATAGCTCTGGCCCACGTTTAGTTGCAAAACATTCTCGAACGTTGTAGAAAGAAATGCCATGACTAGAGTCGTCATGATTCCTATGTTATGTTGAACAAACATGCCCATCTGAAAGTTCCAAAATGTTGTGTCCTGCTGGATATGTTTGAAATATGACCACTGATACAGTAGACAGGTAATGCAGCGACTTTCGCAGGCTGCAATCACCCTGTCAACTCTCACTAGCCTGTTGTCATCCATTATCAAGCATGCAAAAATCCTGACAATGCCATAACTGAGCTGCTACAGTACAACACCAGCACTCCCTCTCCCTCCCTCACTCGGCAGTGAAGTAGCTACCAGATTAAACCCTCACTCCGCTCAGGGCACAATTCACCTGACACAGTATTCAACTAAACAACACAGTGGCAGGGAAACGCTGTATCATCATCTTTCTTGTGTCATATCTGGTTCGGGGGCTTTTCAGTCTTCTCCGACCTGACAACGCCCATCAATTCAACTCAGTGGCGTCTCACGGACCAGCCCACTGTGCCAGCTAGGTTTGAGAGGGTTGATATGCTCCACTGGAGCAGGTGATTTTGCCTTATTAACCATTGTTGCTTCTAGAGAGAGACTCCTACAACGATGCTAAATGACAACCCTTCTGCAAGCCTACAACAGAGCGCTCACGTCACTATGAAAAATTGGAGTGGTAGCCAGTCAAGTTATGAGAGCTCCTTCTTTTGCCAGCTGCCCTTAAGGTCATGTTTCATCTCGCTCTCCTTTCAGACTACCCTTCACTGCTACATTATCTCAATCTCTCTGTTTCAATCCTTTACACAGAGGTGGGTAAATGCTTGGCCTCATTTAAGGGTTAAACCTATATATATATATATATATATATTAATCTATGTCTACCTTGAATTCTGCATTTAATAGATTACTTCCCCTTAGTTGGCAGATCTGTACACAACTGCGCTCTATACTGTACATTCAACGTAACAATGGCATCACCATAGCTCTGCACGTGATATTAAATGCATTTATTCCTATGAATTTCATCATGTTTACAGATGCCTGCATAATTCAATTTCACACATTGATATCTATCTACATACCCTTTGTTCCTCACAAACCATGTCATGCAGGGACCTATAATGAGATTATGATAGATTTCCATGTAGCGTTACAATCAATCTCTGTCACGTTCGGTCATCTCTGTAATAAAGGGAACATGAAACACACCAGTACTACAAATCAGTGGGGCTGAAACGCAAGCTGCTGTTGAGTAGCGCGCTAAAAAGACTGTCATCTTTCATTAGCCGAGCTTAAAACAGAGTGCAGGCAGATGGTTCCATCCTCAGCACAGCTGTTAGGGGCCTGCCTGAGTGTGAACAATATAACTATTTCATGAATTCAGCTACAGATCAACCTCAACCACCTAGAGAGGAAACGCTAGTTTTGAAAGTACGTCGGTGTAACGCTTAGAGACTGAGCATGAATGAACAATGAAAAGTAACGAAGAGAGAGGTTTAACTCAATGACTCTTTATGAGTCGTCATGAGCCATGATCTCTCCTGATCCTATGAAAGTTAACAAAGCAAACAGATCAATAGCTAATCTTTCTCCTGTTCATTCCTATAATTGACAGGTGATGTTTGCACATGTTTACTGAGGCTACTCAAATTCAGTGAACCATTTAAGACAATACTAAGAATTTAACCCTAACTGGTAGAGTATGATCACCTGTGCGTATGACTGCACTATATGGCTCTGGATCTCGTCCATGGTGTCCGTCCCATAGGACACTGTCCCCAGGTGCAGCCGCTTGAAGATCATCTCGTTCTGTGTTAGAGTGCCTTCAATTCACAAAGCATAATGAAGTGAGATTTGTATTAAACAACAGGTTAATGAGTGAGTCTCTAAACCAGCACATAATTCACATACTGATGCTCATTGAGTCATTTTTGAGTGGGTCATGCATCCATTATGGCTACAGTGTTACCCCTAGGATTTCTTTCAGCATCGGTGGCAGAGTTTATTGGGTGGCGGTGGGGGGAATTAACCTCACATACAGTGGGGAAAAAAAGTATTTAGTCAGCCACCAATTGTGCAAGTTCTCCCACTTAAAAAGATGAGAGAGGCCTGTAATTTTCATCATAGGTACACGTCAACTATGACAGACAAATTGAGATTTCTTTTTCCAGAAAATCACATTGTAGGATTTTTAATGAATTTATTTGCAAATTATGGTGGAAAATAAGTATTTGGTCACCTACAAACAAGCAAGATTTCTGGCTCTCACAGACCTGTAACTTCTTCTTTAAGAGGCTCCTCTGTCCTCCACTCGTTACCTGTATTAATGGCACCTGTTTGAACTTGTTATCAGTATAAAAGACACCTGTCCACAACCTCAAACAGTCACACTCCAAACTCCACTATGGCCAAGACCAAAGAGCTGTCTAAAGGACACCAGAAACAAAATTGTAGACCTGCACCAGGCTGGGAAGACTGAATCTGCAATAGGTAAGCAGCTTGGTTTGAAGAAATCAACTGTGGGAGCAATTATTAGGAAATGGAAGACATACAAGACCACTGATAATCTCCCTCGATCTGGGGCTCCACGCAAGATCTCACCCCGTGGGGTCAAAATGATCACAAGAACGGTGAGCAAAAATCCCAGAACCACACGGGGGGACCTAGTGAATGACCTGCAGAGAGCTGGGACCAAAGTAACAAAGCCTACCATCAGTAACACACTACGCCGCCAGGGACTCAAATCCTGCAGTGCCAGACGTGTCCCCCTGCTTAAGCCAGTACATGTCCAGGCCTGTCTGAAGTTTGCTAGAGTGCATTTGGATGATCCAGAAGAGGATTGGGAGAATGTCATATGGTCAGATGAAACCAAAATATAACTTTTTGGTAAAAACTCAACTCGTCGTGTTGGAGGACAAAGAATGCTGAGTTGCATCCAAAGAACACCATACCTACTGTGAAGCATGGGGGTGGAAACATCATGCTTTGGGGCTGTTTTTCTGCAAAGGGACCAGGACGACTGATCTGTGTAAAGGAAAGAATGAATGGGGCCATGTATCGTGAGATTTTGAGTGAAAACCTCCTTCCATCAGCAAGGGCATTGAAGATGAAACGTGGCTGGGTCTTTCAGCATGACAATGATCCCAAACACACCGCCCGGGCAACGAAGGAGTGGCTTCGTAAGAAGCATTTCAAGGTCCTGGAGTGGCCTAGCCAGTCTCCAGATCTCAACCCCATAGAAAATCTTTGGAGGGAGTTGAAAGTCCGTGTTGCCCAGCGACAGCCCCAAAACATCACTGCTCTAGAGGAGATCTGCATGGAGGAATGGGCCAAAATACAAGCAACAGTGTGTGAAAACCTTGTGAAGACTTACAGAAAACGTTTGACCTGTGTCATTGCCAACAAAGGGTATATAACAAAGTATTGAGAAACTTTTGTTATTGACCAAATTCTTATTTTCCACCATAATTTGCAAATAAATTCATTAAAAATCCTACTATGTGATTTTCTGGAAAAAATTCTCATTTTGTCTGTCATATTTGACGTGTACCTATGATGAAAATTACAGGCCTCTCTCATCTTTTTAAGTGGGAGAACATGAACAATTGGTGGCTGACTAAATACTTTTTTCCCATCCATATGAAGTGTAAGAACATTTGATTATTTTCCGAGAATAACAAGTACATAATACACATTTGAAAATAGTTTCCTGGGGTAGTGGGAAGTTGGGCTTTTTGGTCTGGGTTTAAGGTTTATCATGACAGAAATAGTTCAGTCTTTAATGCACCTGCATCTGACAAGTTGTTCTATAGAAGTGCATAAAGACAAAGAAAACACAAATCCTGTCTCACATCTCAAACACATTGCTAGGTGCTGACATTTTTTACAAGAGTACATAAGCACAATGAAAGTATTTGAGGAAGAGTGTTATAATGATAAGAAATTCATATAAGTTCAGGAATAAAAGGTTATTGGAGTGTTCCATGCTCAATCAAGCACAATGTACACTTGAATATGTTCAGCTCCCCTTTAAGGGTGGGGGGTTGCCATGATAACGGTGGAGAATCTCAGATGCCTCTTGGCTAAGTTAGCAGTTGCATCAAACTCAAACTAACATTGAAAAATAACCTAGCGTATGAACAAAACGATGTAAATAGCCAAGAAACACGAGCACAAAGTCACACTTTAGTAGACCTTCTGGTAAATCCAACCAACTTTGCCTGTGTGCTTCCCAACAACATTTATTTCAGCACCATACTTACAGTGCCACAGCCTCCCAGTTTGTGGCGTGGAGAGATGACAGAGCCTGCCCACGAAGCACTCACTCTGAAATGACATATACTGTATAACTGCAGTACGCTGCAAATACTGTGTCCAAAATGATACCGCTTTTTTTTACTGCAGTAGTTTTGCAGTGTTATTCTGCAAATTACTGCATCCAAAATAGTCGACTGCAGTTGGTGCACTTTTACAGCAGTTTCAAAACTGCAATATTTTTTTGTAAGGGAGTCCCTGCCCATCTTCCGAAAACATCTGAAACCGTACCTCTTCAAAGAGTATCTTAAATAATCCCACAGCACCCCCACTCGCACCCTCTCCTTTTCGTGAACTAACACTCACACTTGACTTTTTCCCCCCCTTACTAGCTCTGACTTTGCTGATAGCTACTTTATTGAGGATAAATGTACTTACTATGACTGTGATATGTGGTTGTCCAACCTAGCTATCTTAAGACGAAGGCACTAACTGTAAGTCGGTCTGGATAAGAGCGTCTGCTAAATGACAAAAATGTAAATGTATATTATTTTTGTAGGATGCGCAAGGATGCATTCTGTACTTAGTCAATGATTTAGATATGAGAAACTACACAGATCTACTCGATTCACGTGGATGGCCTATTTTGAGATCAAAACGGAGAATATCGCAGAAAGGCGACCAGTTTGCATCCCTGACTGTTACAGTTGATCAGTGGCTGTGTATCCTGGTACCTGTTTTGTCAGTCAGTAGGTACACCAGGCGGCCCAGCTCTTCAGGGATGGTACTGGTCCGTACCACAGTACCAGGGATGTTCTCATCTTTCATGATCATCCAACCATAGGCAGACTTCCCCATGTCCAGATTGACACGCAAGCTGCACATACAAATAAAACAGAGGTCAAGTTCAATTGTGTTCAGCAAAATATGTGTTAATTAAGCAAAATGATTACCATGATTCTATTGCACAATGTCACCAACAATAGTCAAGCAAAGACTCATTAAAGCAGTGAAATGGATGCCATGCTGTACTATAGAGTTGAATACACTATCTATCTATATTGTCTCTACCTATATGTGCCGTACCTGATGGGGATGATGTAGGAGAAGAGCACGATGAAGCGGAACAGGTTGCGGAACCAGGGGCCCACAAAGCCCTGCAGCACTATCATGACAACAGATAGGACCACCTGAGCCAGGAACAGAGCCTTGGTGAGGCGGTTCAGCTCCAGGTCCAGCAGACCCACCTGTAGAGGAGAGAGAGGCCAGGGGTTAGAGCCACCATACTGAGGACAGAGCCACAGGTTAAAAAGGACAGGCAAATCCTCCACTGGGACTAGATATGCTTGGTTTATTTAGCTCCTTATGCATGCATGTGGCTGTTATAGAAGTAGTCCTTCATATAGAGACAGCAGGCACCCTAGTGTATGAACATATAAAGCTAGGTACTGATTGGCCAATAACGCTTAACCTCTACAGGATCGGTGTCCCTATACCGGGACAGTTGCTGCTCAATATGCGATATGTGACTAGAATGGCGTTGTAAACAACAGCCAACTTTCCGGGACATAGACATGTCTTATATGGGCAGAAAGCTTAAATTCTTGTTAATCTAACTGCAGAGTTCAATTTACAGTAGCTATTACAGCTAAAAAAAAAGACCATGCTATTGTTTGTGGATAGTGCACAACAACAAAACACTTTTGTCACGGCAACTGGTTTGATACATTCACCTCTGAAGGTAAATAATGTACTTACAGTCAGTAATCTTGCTCTGATTTGTCATCCTGAGGGTCCCAGAGATAAAATGTAGCATAGCATTTGATCAAATCCATTATTTTATTCAAATGTAGGAACTGGGTTCTACAGTTTGACCCCCTGCTGTCCTGGCTCTGTCAGGAAGTCCAGGACCCAGTTGCATAGGGAGGAGTTCAGACCCAGGGCCCTGAGCTTTGTAATGGGCTTATAGTGAACTATGGTATTGAAGGCCGAGCTTTAGTCAATGAACAGCATCCTCACATATGCATTCCTTTTGTCCAGGTGGGTAAGGGCAGCGTGCAGTGCAATGCCGATTGCGTTGTCCGTGGATATGTCAGGGCGGTAGGCGAATTGGAGAGGGTCAAGTGTGTCGGGGGAGGGAGGATGTGATATGGTCTTTGAGATTAGCCTCTCGAAGCACTTCATGATGACGGAAGTGAGTGCTACTGGTCGGTAGTCATTCAGTTCAGTTACTTTGCCCTTTCTTGGGCACAGGGATGATAGTGGGCATCTTGAAGCAGGTGGGTATAGAGGCCTGAGGGCACGGCTAGATATGCCATCTGGGCCGGCAGCCTTGCGAGGGTTAACACATTTGAATGACTTACATATGTCCTCAGTGTCATCGGGGGCTCTCCTCGGCAGCTCAGGGTCATTGTGCCCGAACCTTGACAAAAAGGTGTTTAGCTCGTCCAGTAGGGTGGCGTTGGTTACTGTGATGTGGCTGGCTTTCTTTTTGTAATCCGTGATCGTTAGGAGACCCTGCCACATACGCCTTGTGTCCGACCCGCTGAATTGCTACTCCACTTTGTCTCTATACTTGTGTTTCGCCATCTTGATCGATCTGCGTAAGTCATATTTGTAAGGAGGACGGGTGTGGGCCTTATACCTGTGTCGAAAAGACGTGTAGCAGTGGTCAAGAGTAGAATTTCTGCGTGTTAGACAGTTGATGTGTTGGTAATAATTTGGAAGCACGGTTTAAGTCGACCACAACAATGAACGCTGCCTCTGGGAATTTCATTTTGAAGATCTTTGAGAGCCTTTTTGGTGTCGGCTTGGGGCGGGATGTACACAGCCATGGCGATAATCCCTGTGAACTCTCTCAGAAGGTGAAAAGGACGACATTTTATGACCAAGTATTCCAAGTAGGAGGAGCAGTACTTTTTCCCCTGTCGCATCAGGTGTTGTTGGTCATAAAGCAGAGCTCACCACCCTTGCCAGAGAGAGCCCACTTCCTATCAGCTCGAAAAAAGTTTAAACCCGCTGGTTGTATATAATCCGTCTGGATGTCGGAGAAAAGCAAAGTCTCAGAAAAACAGACTGTTGCAGGATCTGATGTCCCTCTGGAAGGAGATCCTCGCTCATCAAGTTTGCTCATTAATGATTGAACATTGGCGAGTAGTATGCTCGGTAATAGAGGACAGGTCGCCCGGCGTCTTAATCTCACTAAGACCCTCGCCATGTCTGCCTCTCCGTCGGCGTCTTCGATTCCTACTCTCAGGTAGGACTCCCAAGCAGCTCGACGCTTCGCTGAAGAAGCTAGTCCATTGTTCTGCCATCTCAGGGAATTCGGGAAGGTCAGGTGGACGGTCAGTACCCAGCGATTCGTATTTCAAAAGTTCTACCTGGGTGTGTGTAGTAATGCACAAAACAAACTGATTAAGAAAATTAGAGAACAACACAAAAAAGTAAAAACCGGCAGTTTTATCGACCCTCGAGGCGAGGTGCCAGCATCACGCTTACAACAGCTGCAAAACATACAATTTCCCCTACCGGCCCCATTCCCCAGAGAACTGGGAGCACAGAGACCAGTGACTGATTTATCAGCTGTAGTTAAATCCCCAGTGTAGACTGGGGTAGAAATATCCTCCCCACCCTGGTGCCTCACTACATGGTTCATTAAAATAAGAATTGAGGACACTGCGCATGCCTGAAAAGCAAAGGATCCCCATTTGCCGGAACAATGGACAACCTACATTTTCTGCGGCTCGCTGAGAATCAGATGAAGTCATTATTAATTCAGTCAGGGGGGAAAAAGGACTGAATAACATCAACCTAAAGTAAATAAATAAATAAATAAAAGTGCATATTTTACTTAATTCATCCCAAACCCATTAAAAGTGAAAGGAATTATTTAATCTGGCTGCGCTGCATGTATTTTTCTGTGTTTGTGGGAAATTTGTGGGAAAAAGACAAAACAGAAAAGGTATTTCAGATCTCTTCGTTTATCACGCTAATCATTCTATACTGAAAAAAAATACAAACGCAACATTCAAAAATTTCAACGATTTTACTGAGTTACAGTTCATATAAGGTAATCAGTCAATTGAAATTAATTAATTAGGCCTTACATTTATGGATTTCGCATGTCTGGGCAGGGGCGCAGCCATTGGTGGGCCTGGGAGGGCATAGGACCACCCACAGGTGAGCCAGGCCCAGCCAATCAGATTGAGTTTTTCCACACAATTAATTACAGACAGAAATACTCCTCAGTTTCATCAGTTGTCCGGGTGGCTGGTCTCAGATGATCCTGCAGGTGAAGTAGTCAGATGTGTAACCACGCCAGCCCAGGACCTCCACGTGGTCTGCAGTTGTGAGGCCGGTTGGACGTACTGCCAAATATTCTAAAACAACGTTGGAGGCGGCTTATGGTAGATAAATTAACATTAAATTCTCTGGCAACAGCTCTGGTGGACATTCCTGCAGTCAGCATGCCAATTGCACGGTCCTCCAAAACTTGAGACATCTGTGGCATTGTGTTCTGTGACAAAACTGCACATTTTAGAGTGGCCTTTTATTGTCCCTAGCACAAGGTGCACCTGTGTAACGATCATGCTATTTAATCAGCTTCTTGATATGCCACACCAGTCAGGTGGATGGATTATCTTGGCAAAGGAGAAATGGTCACTAACAGGTATGCAAACAAATGTGTTCACAGAATATGAGCGAAATAAGCTTTTTGTTCGTATGGAACATTTCTGGGATCTTTTAATTCAGCTCATGAAATATGGGACCAACACTTACGTGTTGCTTTTACATTTTTTCCCCAGTATATAACTGCCAACATGCTCTGTGAGGCACCAGTGGAAATAATATGTGCATTAGAACTTGCATAAACAGGGTTCAATGAGGAACAGACGTTGGGGAAATGTCTCACATCACAGAATGTTTGTTGTTCTTCACAAAGTCAGTTCAACAACATCAAGACAAAGAGTGAAGCTACACCTGATGTCCTGTCACTGAGCTCAAGTGCAAGCATTGTGCTGGCTTGTGTCACAACAGGTTGTGAGACCAAAACCTTCTTGTGACTTTAGCAACACTGTATGACTATCTCCCCAATCTTAGTCTCCATATTGGCACTTCTGACATCTCCTTGAAATATTGAATTCCTCTCAGCCGCAGAGTTTACACAAAACACTGGGCCTTGCTGTTCGACCCGCAACATCAGTGTTCTTATTAAAAGGCACTTACGTCAAAAAATGTCCATAGTAAGGAGACAGTGTCAACCAACAAAAGGTTAACACAGAAGAGTGTGGTTGTGGCAAAAATCTTTAGGTAAGAACTCTGTACATACACTACATGACCAAAAGTATGTGGGGACACCTGCTCGTCGAACATCTCATTCCAAAGTCATGAGCATTAATATGGAGTTGGTCCCCCCTTTGCTGCTATAAAAGCCTCCACTCTTCTGGGAAGGCTTTCCACTAGATGTTGGAACATTGCTGTGGGGACTTGCTTCCATTCAGCCACAAGAGCATTAGTGAGGTTGGTCACTGATGATGGGCGATTAGGTCTGGCTCGCAGTCGGCGTTCCAATTCATCCTAAAGGTGTTCAATGTGGTTGAGGTCAGGGCTCTGAGCAGGCCAGTCAAGTTCTTCCACACCAATCTCGACAAACCATTTCTGTATGGACCTATCACTGTGCACGGGGGCATTGTCATGCTGAAACAGGAAAGGGCCTTCCCCCAAACTACTGAGTAAAGGGTCTGAATACTTGTGTAAATGTGATATTTCCATTTTTTATTTAATACATTTGCAAACATTTCTAAAAACCTGATTTTGCTTTGTCATTATGGGGTATTGTGTGTAGATTGATGAGGGGAAAAAACGATTTAATCTATTTTAGAAAAAGGCTGTAACGTAACAAAATGTGGAAAAAGTCAAGGGGTCTCAATACTTTCAGAATGCACTGTATGGGTTATATTTGGTGTAACGTTATGACTTATCTGTTGATACATTTTCCCACTACCAAGAAGTCTTACACAAAAGTACATAGAAACACACACAAACAAATCCCCAACTTATTTCTGCCTGCAAAAGAAACATAAACATTCACCTTATTCTTGGGGGAGGAAGTGTTCAGTACACTCCTGGTCTCTTTGCCTGTGTAGATCACCACCCCTATCACTGTGCCTGCCAAACAGAGAGACAGAAGAAAGAAATGCTGCTCATTACCTGGACCACACACATTTCAGACTCATCTCTGTCAAGTAAGACCGACAGCAATGAGAATCAATAATGCTGAGCAGAGGGAGCGGCGGTGGCTGATATGCTCCCTGCTCGTAGCCACTCAGCCCCACAGACAGAGACAGACAGGGGTTTAATGTGTTAGGCACCTGGCCGGACCCTTCCCATGGAATCAGCTCATGAAAGCCGATCGATACTCCACCATCTTTAATTGCCGATTCATTAAGGCCTTATTACAGAAGACAAATGTGCCATTAGTATTAAATTAGCTTAAATGGGAGAGCAAGGCCACTAATACACTTAAATACAGCCCATGCAATCCACCAACTATAAAGGCTAAGCGAGAGAGAGAAAAGGAGATGGAAAGAGAAAAAGGGTCGAGAAATAAACCGTGAAAGATTAGGTGAGGAGGAGAGAACAAATCAAATGTAAATTAATCAATCATCACCTTGACCTAAGATAAAAGGGCAAAAATGTGACAAATGGTTTTGACACAACATGTAGAAGCGTTTTCATTTAAATATGTGAACACCAAAGGCTATCGAGTGTCCTTCTGATGAAAGCCAAGGAGAGTTTTGTGGCCGACAATGACATAGCCATGTAGGAATGATGTCAGAGGACTAAGTTAGGTGGTGTCTGTGCGTGTGTGTGTAAAAGGGGGTCGGGGGCGATAAAGGGGGATGTGTGTTTGTGTGGTCAAAGTCAGGCCAAGGGGGAGAGGGTCACCGCAGATCAATGGTGTGGAGAAGATGGCTGAGAGAGCGTCAAACACTTTCCACTGAGAAAACGGTCCTGTGGGGAATTAAGCTTAGCTGACTGAGGTAGGAGAAAGATTTATGAACTCACATTTATACACATCTTTAAATCTCCCATTTCCACATCATTGTCTATCACTACAAATGTCATTGGGTTAGCTGGGGAATGGGATCCCATGTCATAAACAACTACACATCAGAGATGTCTACGTAAAGCTTGGTTACAAACTTTGGATGCAAAAGTAAAATAAAGCGTTGACCTATCTTGGCCTTTAACAGCAAACATATCATAAACCACACAGTTAAGACGTTTTTTACTTACCAGATGCCACAATAGTGCTGGCCCAAAGGGTGTGGTCAATATTCAAACTCTCATGGATTTGAGGGTCACTGTCTTCCTACAGGGGAGATATACAAAATCGTTATATCTTTATTGAACATTCAAGAAGAACAATGTTACTTTATTATTAATACCCGACAACCCTTCCTTAGAGGGTGCAGCCAGAACACCAGAGAGACATTCAGTACCATTCATTTCCACAAGCACCTGCCACCATGCGTCTGAGCTACATATGTCTTCTCCCTTATCAATACTTTGACTAGATGTGGCGATTGGGAACACAAAAAGAAACAAAGCTTCATAAATTGGTACGTTTAGTTGAAGGGAATCTGTGGGAACGGCCGGGACTAAAAGCACACGTTATGCAAAGGAAGGCGGTGGAACAGAGCGGAGGATGAATGAGCAGAGAAAGTGCTCGCTCACTAAGCCTGGCGTGGCCAAGAGTGAAGGCGATACACAAAGCCCCTCTTTGTGGGGGTCTGCACTAATCTGCCATTAATAAAAACAAATCACTGAGGGAACGGATGGAGGAGAACAGGGAGGACCTTCCTGTGATGTCAGCACTTAGCACCATGCCTCCTGGAGATGCTGCTGCTGCACACACTAGTTTTGATTGTTGCCATTTGTCAACGTGGCATTTCACTTAGTGTTGTTGATCCTCTTACTGTGTTCATGTCATGTACCTTTCACATTTGTTTGACAGTGTGATGTCAGTAAGCTACTTACCCTTGTGAAGTTTCCCTCGAAGTTGTGGATGTCAAGCTGAGGCTTCTGGGCATAGACATAAGCGCTGATGGAGAAGAGGTCCTGAGAGAGGAGGAGAAATGACAGACCTGAATAAAGTACTAGAGTAAATATTTTACTTCATACTTACATTTACATTTACATTTACATTTTAGTCATTTAGCAGACGCTCTTATCCAGAGCGACTTACAGGAGCAATTAGGGTTAAGTGCCTTGCTCAAGGGCACATTAACGTCATTTAGCAGACGCTCTTAGCCAGAGCGACTCACAAATTGGTGCGTTCACCCTATAGCCAGTGGGATAACCACTTTATACTTCAGACAAAGCCTTCCTAACTCTCCCAGAGAGAGATTATCAAAGGGCACCACGGGTCAGGTGTTGAAGAAACCTGTGAGGTTCGCCCAAGATAACACCTGCTATAAAAGGATGGGGAGTGGATGACCGTGTCAGCGAAAATAAGTACCCCGTTCTGCCACCTCTGGTCTCTTGGCCCTCCCACCGCTACATGAGGGCAGCTCCCGCTCAGCCTAGTCCAAGCTCTTCTCTGTCCTGGCACCCCAATGGTGGAACCAACTTCTTCCTGAAGCTAGGACAGCAGAGTATCTTAAATAATACCACAGCACCCCCCACCCACACACACACCACCTCCTCCTCACCCCAAGCTCCATTTCAGTTGTGTGACCTGTCGCCGATCTAACTGCGGTCCACGCCCCTTGTGGAACAGAATTTATTGTAAACATTAAATTATTCAGTCAAACTGCCTCTAAGCACCGGGTCCCCTCAGTTCTGCTCACAGTGCTCCTAGGGTAAGAACATGGCAGGGAGGGGAAGATGATCTTACTCAGCCCCAGTGGAGAGCTGCTGCCAGTAATGCCTCCTACTGATGAAACACAGACACTCTAGAGCCAGACACAATAGAGGCAGAATTATGTCACTTTCTGAGACACAGCTGCAGCAAGTGTCTTCCCACATAGACTAAATGTTTCATCAAGAGAAGAAATGAAAAAGGATGGGGTTCTGAATCAAACGTTCAAATAAATCATGTGTTTATGTGGACAAGAGACATTTATGAGAAAAGTGTATCTGAAGTTAGGATTTGTAACCTCGATTAGTAAACTGGTGAAACATTATGTTTTCCTCTCTGTCCAAAATAAATTGAACTCACTCTTAAGTGTTATTGATTAGACAGGAAACACATAAATCGTGGTCAGTTCAAGAGTGACATGTTCTTCCTGTATAAAGATCATTCAATCATAACACATGGGGCACATAGAGTTGAAGTCGGAAGTTTACATACACTTAGGTTAGGGTCATTAAAACTCGTTTTTCAACCACTCCACAGATTTCTCATTAACAAACTATAGTTTTGGCAAGTCAGTTAGGACATCTACTTTGTGCATGACACGAGTAATTTTTCCAACAATTGTTTACAGACAGATTATTTCACTTATAATTCACTGTATCACAATTGCAGTGGGTCAGAAGTTTACATACACTAAGTTGACTGTGCCTTTAAACAGCTTGGAAAATTCCAGAAAATGATGTCAGGGCTTTAGAAGCTTCTGATAGGCGAAATGACATCATTTAAGTCAATTGGAGGTGTACCTGTGGATGTATTTCAAGGCATACCTTCAAACTCAGTGCCTCTCTGCTTGACATCATGGGAAAATCAAAAGAAATCTGCCAAGACCTAAGAAAAAAACGTTGTAGACCTCCACAAGTCTGGTTCATCCTTGGGAGCAATTTCCAAATGCCTGAAGGTACCACGTTCATCTGTACAAACAATAGTACACAAGTATAAACACCATGGGACCACGCAGCCGTCATACCGCTCAGGAAGGAGGCGCGTTCTGTCCCCTAGAGATGAACGTACTTTGGTGCGAAAAGTGCAAATCAATCCCAGAACAACAGCAAAGGACCTTGTGAAGATGCTGGAGGAAACAGGTTCAAAAGTATCTATATCCACAGAAAAACGAGTCCTATATCGACATAACTTTAAAGGCCGCTCAGCAAGGAAGAAGCCACTGCTCCAAAACTGCCATAAAAAAGCCAGACTACGGTTTGCAACTGCACATGGGGACAAAGATCGTACTTTTTGGATAAATGTCCTCTGGTCTGATGAAACAAAAACAGAACTGTTTGGCCATAATGACCATCGTTATGTTTGGAGGAAAAAAGGGGTCGCTTGCAAGCCGAAGAACACCATCCCAACCGTGAAGCACGGGGGTGGCAGCATCATGCTGTGGGGGTGCTTTGCTGCAGGAGGGACTGGTGCACTTCACAAAATAGATGGCATCATGAGGAAGGAAAATTATGTGGATATATTGAAGCAACATCTCAAGACATCAGTCAGGAAGTTAAAGCTTGGTCGCAAATGGGTCTTCCAAATGGACAATGACCCCAAGCATACTTCCAAAGTTGTGGCAAAATGGCTTAAGGATAACAAAGTCAAAGTATTGGAGTTGCCATCACAAAGCCCTGACCTCAATCCTATAGAAAAGTTGTGGGCAGAACTGAAAAAGCGTGTGCGAGCAAGGAGGCCTACAAACCTGACTCAGTTACACCAGCTTTGTCAGGAGGAATGGGCCAAAATTCACCCAGCTTATTCTGGGAAGCTTATGGAAGTCTACCCGAAACGTTTGACCCAAGTTAAACAATTTAAAGGCAATGCTACCAAATACTAATTGAGTGTATGTAAACTTCTGACCCACTGGGAATGTGATGAAAGTAATAAAAGCTTAAATAAATCACTCTCTACTATTTTTTCGGACATTTCACATTCTAAAAAAAAGTGGTGATCCTAACTGACCTAAGACAGGGAATTTGTACTCGGATTAAATGTCAGGAATTGTGAAAAACTGAGTTTAAATGTATTTGGCTAAGGTGTATGTAAACTTCCGACTTCAACTGTAACTAATAAAAAAAAGGGCCAAGCAGATTCAATAGACATCAAATGTACAGAATATGCATTGGTTAACAACTGTATGGATCTTTTTCAAAAGCGTGTCATAATTCCCTGAAAGTTACAATGACCTCACAGCCTTCTATAAATCATCCTGTTACAGTCAGTAGGGAGGATGGGTTTAATAAAAATGATAAAATTGGGTAATAAATAACACTATGATGATTGCCATCCCCCATCGACTGGAAACCCTATCTGGTGATGCAATCATCCAGTTGACTTGCTGAAACTTTCATTCTTTGGTCACATTAAGTAGTGACATAAAAATAAAGAAATCAGTATCACCTCATCCTAGAGGAAGAAGCTACTGTGTTCTAGGGTGTTCTGGCTGTCATGAGGATAAGGTTTCAATGCCACATTAAAGACAACCTAATACTGACAATGTTTTAATAACACAAAATAGTTAACATAATGACATTTCTCAGTTATAATGGTCACATACTGAGAACAGGTAATTGTACATACCCCCAGAGCAGGTAGTCTTTGTGTGCAAACAACAGCAACTTTCAACTTCCAGTCTGTCTCTCCATCTAATTGGTCCGTCCTGATGAAACATGAACCTAGAAAAACACAAACAGTTTTAAAGTAGGTATGCTTTTAATACCCCATAAAAACAATTTAGTGTATTCAGAGACGTTTAGCCAGTACCTCAAATGTGAAAGAAATGTAGTACAGTGAAAGAAAATGTATATGTTTATCATAAATATCAGTTCTTAGTGTGACAGTATTCGTGTGCTAATGGTCAAACCACTTCAGTATGCCTGCCTTCAACATGTGTGCACTACACGATATAGAGCAATGAGAAACGCCACTTAGCCGTCTACAAGAGCCCAATAAATGCTTAGCGGTCATGAACTGTATTGATCCAAGGTAATATTCCATACGAAATTAATGGATGAGGGTGGCTATTTGACAGAATGGCTAAAGGGCAGCATTAAAATGGGCCCAGGGTGTTAAGCATGATGGAAAAAATATTGTTGAGGATGATTCACGTCTCCTTCCCCCCCCAAGGCTGCTAGCTTAGTGGTTAAGAGCGTTGTGCCAGTAACTGAAAGGTCGCTGGTTCTAATCCCCGAGCCGACAAGGTGAAAACATCTGTCGATGTGCCCTTGAGCAAGGCACTTAACCGTAATTGCTCCTGAAAGTCGCTCTGGATAAGAGCGTCTGCTAAATTACTAATTATTTATTTTAAGACTCTGCTCACATAATACCACTGAGATGTTGCGAGGGCATAAAGACATCAGTGCTCCTTGCGAGGACATATTGGCATATAGGAGAATGATGGAAATGATGCCCAGAGCCTTTATTTCTCCTGATACCTCTCAGAGATGAGCCTGTGATCTGATGGGACCATTGATTCATTGGTATTTACATCATCTGTCACTGGAGGACTCTGGGATGTTGTTTACATTCCCCAGCCAATCAGCCATTGGTAGAGGACACAGAGGCCTTTGATGAGAGGAGTCAGTAATACCACACTGAGATTATCACTGTCCCTTATCGTCATGCAGAAGGGTCATGCATTACATTCTGTAGTACTGTATCTATAGTAAAAGTTACAGGTTATTTTTTATTTTATTTATTTTACTTTGAGGGCAGGGTTTTGTTGGTTGTAAATGCAAAATAGTTTGATTTTGATTCATATTGTACTTTTGAGGGCAGGGTTTTGCATGAGATATGTATAGGTCAAACTGCCACAGCAGACAGTCCCTAAATCTATCAGAAATTATAATCTGTTTTGGACAGAGAGCCAGACCTAGGCGAAATCCTGCTACTTTCCTATAATGTGACAGGAGAGGATGATTGAATTCTGTGAGGACAGGATAGGCTTTGGCAGTCATGGATTTTAATATGTAACACTTTAGAAATTGGAACATGTGTTTATATCAAATACATTTGATTACTTTCATAACTTTAAAGAATCTGTTCAGGTGTTTATCATTCTCACTCTTTATTCAATCTACAGTACTGTTTTCTGGTAAACGTGGTACGAAACTCAACTTTACTTTTCCAGAAAGGTTAGTTTCATTGAGCTACAGTTCAATTAGATAGAAAGACAAGGTGGGATATAAGTGGGATATTTGAACTGACATGACTATACTTTCTCTGCTCTATAACTGAAATTGCACATAAATAAACTCAGCAAAAAAAGAAACGTCCCTTTTTCAGGACCCTGTTTTTCAAAGATAATTCGTAAAAATCCAAATAACTTCACAGATCTTCATTGTAAAGGGTTCAAACACGGTTTCCCATGCTTGTTCAATGAACCATAAACAATTAGGCTGAGAGAGGCTGAACTGAGGGCTTGTAGGCCTGTTGTAAGGCAGGTCCTCACCAGACATCACCAGCAACAACGTAGCCTATGGGCACAAACCCATCTTCGCAGGACCAGACAAGACTGGCAAAAAGTGCTCTTCACTGACGAGCCGCGGTTTTGTCTCACCAGGGATGATGGTCGGATTCGCGTTTATCGTCAAAGGAATGTGCGTTACACCGAGGCCTGTACTCTGGAGCGGGATCGATTTGGAGGTGGAGGGTCCGTCATGGTCTGGGGCGGTGTGTCACAGCATCATCGGACTGAGCTTGTTGTCACTGCAGGCAATCTCAACGCTGTGCGTTACAGGGATGACATCCTCCTCCCTTTTTTTTTGTTGATTTTTTTATTTCACCTTTATTTAACCAGGTAAGCCAGTTGAGAACAAGTTCTCATTTACAACTGCGACCTGGCCAAGATAAAGCAAAGCAGTGTGATAAAAACAACAACACAGAGTTACATATGGAATAAACAAAACGTACAGTCAATAACACAATAGAAGATCTAGAAACAGTGTGTGCAAATGTAGCAAGTTATGGAGGTAAGGCAATAATGTGGTACCCTTCCTGTAGGCTCATCCTGACCCTCCAGCATGACAATGTCACCAGCCATACTGCTCGTTCTGTGCGTGAATGTCAGTGTTCTGCCATGGCTAGCGAAGAGCCCAGATCTCAATCCCATTGAGCATGTCTGGGACCTGTTGAATCGGAGGGTGAGGGCTAGGGCCATTCCCCCCAGAAATGTCCGGGAACTTGCAGTTGCCTCGGTGGAAGGGTAGGGTAACAACTCACAGCAAGAACTGGCAAATCTGGTGCCGTCCATGAGGAGGAGATGCACTGCAGTACTTAATGCAGCTGGTGGCCACACCAGCTACTGACTGTTACTTTGATTTTGACCCCTCCTTTTATCAGGGACACATTATTCCATTTCTGTTAGTCACATGTCTGTGGAACTTGTTCAGTTTATGTCTCAGTTGTTGAATCTTGTTATGTCCATACAAATATTTACACATGTTAAGTTTGCTGAAAATAAACGCAGTTGACAGTGAGAGGACGTTTCTTTTTTTTGCTGAGTTTATTAGCTATGATGAACATGACAGGGGAAAGCATAAAGTTACTGACTGGAAAATGTAATAACACTACTCTATCTGAATAATCCCTTCCCCTAAAGATTGATATGGACCATGTAACTTTGTAGTGGTCTGTTAATGTCAAACTTTGTTGTCTAATTACACAGATGATATTTGTTGTGCTTTGGGAATGTAATGTGCTTAGTCTATGTTACAGACACTTAGAGCTCCTACAACTCACCAGTCTTCTCTGATGTCCTTAGAAATACAATATCTGCAGGGATCCTTTGGTTCTGCAACAAAACATAACATTATAATGAACTAAACAGAAAAAAAGGTGAGAATTAGATAGTAAACTGTCACTAACTAAGAGTATTAACGGTGTCAAAATGTTAGCGAGAGCAGTAACACTAGTCCCGGGATATTCCTGAATAATTGAACAATGTCACTTCCTTGAGCAGGCAGTTACAGTGATCCAGTCATATGAATCATTCAGGGCCATATGATACTCAAATACAAAGTGATTTTACAGGATTACAACATTGCTCACACATTAACAAATGATTCACCTTTTCAACTATGATGAGGTCACCAACTTGTATGTCAGAACTCTTCACTTGAACTTTACCTGAGAGGAAAGTAGCAGAACCAAGGTCAGAAATGTCTGTAAATAGACAGACAAAGAGAAAGGAATCTCTAAAGTGGTTTCTTTACAGACACATTGACTGAAGATTGACTACATCATAAGACACACTATGAATGTTTAAAACAGTGGTGAAATAAAATGCATGTATTGCTCTTTGGTCCTTGAAAAGCATCTACAATAGATGGCCAAAAGTATGCGGACAACCCATCTAATGAGTGGATTCGGCTATTTCAGCCACACCCATTGCTGACAGGTGTATATAATCGTGCATACAGCCATGCAATCTCCATAGACAAAGATTGGCAGTAGAATGGCCCGTACTGAAGAGCTCTATGACTTTCAACATGGCACCGTCATAGGATGCCACCTTTCCAACAAGTCAAACTTCCGCCCTGCTAGAGCTGCCCCGGTCAACTGTAAGTGCTGTTATTGTGAAGTGGAAACGTCTAGGAGCAACAACGGCTCAGCCGCAAAGTGGTAGGCAACACAACTCACAGAACGGGGCCGCCGTGTGCTGAAGCGCGTAGCACCTAAAAATTGTCTGTCCACAGTTGCAACACTCACTACAGTTCCAAACTGCCTCTGGAAGCAACGTCAGCACAATAACTGTTCGTCGGGAGCTTCATGAAATGGGTTTCCATGGCCGAGCAGCCGCACAAGCCAAGATCACCATGGGCAATGCCAAGCATCAGCTGGAGTGGTGTAAAGCTCACCGCCATTGGACTCTGGAGCAGTAGAAACACATTCTCTGGAGTGATGAATATTAATGCCCATGATTTTGGAATGAGTTTTGGCCATGTAGTGCATCTGATGCTGTCTGGTTAAAGAGAGTATGACATTGTTGCTGGCCGAAGCATTGAGTGTAAGGGAAGCCAGCGAGCATTTGGCCTACCTTGATAAAAAAAATATATAAAACAATAGCCATTGAGCTAAACTGAGTGAGCGCAGCTGTGAATGGTCCTGGCGCAACAACAAAAAAGTGTCAAGGGAAGCCAGTTTGGATTTGGCTTCACACCAATCACATCACAAGCCAAACGTCATTGACAGAAAAAAATTTAATTGTTGCATCATCTCGTTGTGACGTTGTCCTCCGGTGGCTAGCTAAAATCGTCCCTTTCCTAAATTAGCCATGGATGGAGATAGGGATTTGGACTTGTGGTTTTACTTAATTCTCTGTACTGGCAAATGATTATAACGGCGATTCTGATCCAACCATAAATTCATACATTGTGGAAGTTCAACGTGTAGCTAGATGTAGTATACTAATGTTAACTAGCTGGCCTGGCGCATCGTTGCCCATGAAAGGAAGTTAGGCTAGTGAGCAAGCCTTTTAACCATGTTGCCTAGGACAACTAAAACTAAAAGCATGTACTGTATGACAGAGTCATAGCCCGTTCAGGCAACATGAAAGAGGAGGATGGCATTGCTGTTTCTCTACAAGTAGGGTGAGTCAACATGTTTTTAATACTTGCCGCACACACACACACACACAAGTACCATGGACAGCCACTTCAGATTTAGCTTACTTTGATTGGCCTAAATCGTTTTTGGTATCTTTTAGTTGTCACTGTATTAGACTCAGCTTAGGCAATTAGATGATGTTGAAGTTGAAATGGTGCTGGAATAGTGAAGAAAGCGCCTGTTTTCTTTGCGACTTGCGGTAACTCTCCGTGGTTCTAAATCAATAGTTATTTAGTAGTCCGAACATGTCGGAAACATTAACTTGATTGACCAAGGTGTAGGTCATGTAACTGTTCGTTACATGCAATATGCTTTGTGGACTTCACAGGACAGATGTTGCTCTCCGGTGTTGTGATGAAACAAAGGTGTGGTTGAATTTATTCTGCCACTGTCTTCTTGTTGTCTCGGCATTAGTTCATATGCCTTGACACCGTGATATATATAGGCCTAACAGGTCACAGAGCACACAACACAATTATCACAACACGTAGGTTGTAATATGGCTTTTTTCCCTGGCTTGGCTTCCCCAGTGATTTTACTCACGCACCGCTACTGCTGGTCTGAGTCATAGACCAAAACATGGGCACACCAGGTCACTCAATTATATCCATTCAATACCCTATTTCGTCTCTCTCCCACACACACACACACACATTCTCCATGTGAAAATTACATCCCTTTCCAGTGTCATGGATATCACATTAGGGGATTTTCCTCACACACAACTGGGAGATCTTAGATAATACAGTCTTGGAAAATAAATACATGCAATTACTGCAAGAAGAATGACTGTTGTTACAGTGCAGATCCCTGTGAGTGTCGTTTCTTCAATGGGGCAAGCTTAACTACAATATCTCTCAGCATCATGTGACCAATCAACTGTGAGCAGAGGAGTAGCCATTTCCATAACAGTTACAGTTGTATCTTTATCCATACAGAGAAGGAGGAAACATGTTTTGTTATGAACCTCGCATTGTGAGCTTGCTGTAGAGCTGGGAGTTCATCTCCTTGTCCCTCTGGTACCGTCGGACCTCGTCCACCGCCTCACGTACCATTGTAACAGCCATCACAAAGCCCTGGGTGGCAGAAATAAAAACGCAGTTAACATTTACCACACATAACAAGTCCTGTCAGGATGTAATTCAAGTAATACAAGAGTGTTCATATTTTAGGACTGGGACAATGTCTGTTTTTGTGTTAAAAAACACTAAGTTTAGCCTATATAAAGCATTCACACTAATCCTGAAAAGTGAAAAACACATTTACCAGAGGTGCCCAGTACGTGTACAAGTAGCCTATTTTTAGGGCTGGCACGAACTGGGAGCAGGCCACCACTAGAAAGTACAGGTTCAGGAAGAACTTGAACTGCTGGTAGAGAACCTGAGAAGAATAAGAAAAGAGATAGTGATTCAGCATGGTGAGTCAATACACTACCAGCAAGGTGAAACGATCTGCACTGAAGAAGACAGAACGCAGTCAACAGCCACACCGGCTGGGTTACACATCGAAGTGGAAAAGACACAACAGCTCTCCTCTTACTTGTTACACATTAGACTGATAAGGGATGGAAGAAAACAGTATATTTTTAAGTTCTCTATTTAATTACATTGAGGTACAGATTTCACTTTGCAAAGTCACAGTGTTCCCAATGGCAGAGATGGGCACGTCCTGAGTCTGACAGAATAAACTACGAAGCAAAGCAACAGGTTAAATAAGTAGGGCTATGCAATGTAAGGTGCTCATTGTCTTGATAGTACTGTATTGTGTTGGTCTAGATGAGCTTTTGTTTCAAGTGGAAGATATTTCAAGGGGAAATTGCAAGAGTAGACGTATCAGATGGAACACACAACACGACAAGTGTCACACAAGAGTCCCAGGTGTGGTGAACTGACCACATTTTACAGACACTATCAACTTGTGGGTGGTACTTCTGTGGGGAGTTTGAACTTCTTTAGCAGAGTGAGTACAGATTAGGGTTGCAGGAAATATCTGCTTTCAAATAGGTTGCCATATGGATATCGGCCTAGAACGTCATCACTAGTTCAGATAGCATAATTCAGATTTTGAGTAATGATCACAATTATGAGCGCCTGGTTCACAGTCCTAGATTATTAGCCAATAGGATCAATGAATGACGCTCTATAGTTAATGAACTCCTTGACATTTAGGATGAAGCACACTGCTAAATCAATCACTGTGTATTTAATAATTCAAAGTGGAGGAGAAAAAGAGGGTTTGGCTCAATATGGATGAGAATATTTATGTCTGAGAGACAGCTTACATTGTATATCACTCTGACAGAAGGTCAGTCTCTTCATCATGAAGTCATTTGTTTTTTAATAAAGAGCTTTGATTGATCTTAAGCTTTTCCTTCAGAGTAAAACATATGTTGGAAACCTAACATCTCAGTTCGTGACCACAATTTCTTCAACGCATGTTCTATCAATATTTCAAAATATGTTGGAATTGTATACAGCCTGAACTATTATACATTGGTACATCTAAACTGAACAAAAATATAAAACGCAACATGTAAAGTGTTGGCCCCATGTTCCTTGAGCTGAAATAAAAGATCCAATAACTTTTCCATATGCAGAAAACGCATATTTCTCTCTAGCTTTGTACACACATTTGTTTACATCCCTGTTAGCGAGCATTTCTCCTTTGCCAACATAATCCATCCACCTGACAGGTGTGGCATATCAAGAAGCTGATTAAACAGCATGATCATTACACAGGTGCACCTTGTGCTGGGGACAATAAAAGGCCACTGTAAAATGTGCAGTTTTGTCACACAACACAATGCCACAGATGTCTCAAGTTGAGGGAGCGTACAATTGGCATGCTGACTGCAGGAATGTCCACCAGAGCTGTTGCCAGAGATTTAACTGTTAATTTCTCTACCATAAGCCGTCCCAACGTCGTTTTAGAGAATTTGGCAGGGAGAGCGGTTTGAGTGTCCCCTGGTGGATGTGGTGTTATGGTATGGGCAGGCATAAGCTACGGACAGTGAACAAAATTGCATTTTATCGATGGCAAATTGAATGCACAGAGATACCGTGAAGAAATCCTGAGGCCTATTGTCGTGACATTCATCCGCCGTCATCACCTCATGTTTTAGCATGATAATGCACTGCCCCATGTCACAAAGAGCTGTACACAATTCTTGAAAGCTGAAAGTGTCCCATTTCTTCCATGGCCTGCATACTCACCAGACATGTCACCCAATGAGCATGTTTGGGATGCTCTGGATCGACAGCGTGTTCCAGTTCCAGCTAATATCCAGCAACTTTGCACAGTCATTGAAGAGGAGTGGCACAACATTCCACAGGCCCCAATCAACAGCTTGATCAACTCTATGCAAAGGGAATGTGTCACGCTGCATGAGGCAAATGGTGGTCACACCAGATACTGACTGGTTTTCTGATCCACGGCCGTACCTTTTTTTAAGGTATCTGTGACCAACAGATGCATATCTGTATTCCCAGTCATGCGAAATCCATAGATTAGGACCTAATGAATTTATTTCAATTGACTGATTTCCTTATATGAACTGTAACTCAGTAAAATCTTTGAAATTGTTGCATGTTGCATTTATATTTTTGTTCAGTATAATATACATTTATTTTGTCAATTAGCAAGACACATTTCATATATGACCAAACGTATGTGGACACCTGCTCACCTAATATCTCATTCCAAAATCATGGGCATTAATATGGAGTTGGTCCCCCCTTTGCTACTATAACAGCCTCCACTCTTCTGGGAAGGCTTTCCACTAGATGTTGGAACATTGCTGCGGGGACTTGCTTTCATTCAGCCACAAGAGCATTAGTGAGGTCGGGCACAGATGTAGTGCGATTAGGCCTGGCTCGCAGTCGGCGTTCCAATTCACCCTAAAGGTGTTCGATGGGGTCGGGGTCAGGGCTCTGTGCAGGCCAGTCAAGTTCTTCCACACCGATCACGACAAACCCTTTTTGTATGGACCTAGCTTTGTGCATGGAGGCATTGTCATGCTGAAACAGGAACAGGCCTTCCAAAAACTGTTGCCACAAAGTTGGAAGCAAAGAATCGTCTAGAATTTCATTGTCTGCTGTAGCATTTTTCCCTTCACTGGAACTAAGGGGCCTAGCCCAAAGCATGAAAAACAGCCCCAGACCATTATTCCTCCTCCACCAAACTTTACAGTTGGCACTATGCATTCGGGCAGGTAGAGTTCTCCTGGCAGCCAACAAACCCAGATCCGTCCGTCGGAATGCCAGATGGTAAAGCGTGATTCATCACTCCAGAGAACGCGTTTCCACTGCTCCAGAGTCCAATGGCAGCGAGCTTTACACCACTCCAGCTGACGCTTGGCATTGCGCATGGTGATCTTAGGCTTGTGTGCGGCTGCTCGGCCATAGAAACCCATTTCATGAATCTCCAGACGAACAGTTATTGTGCTGATGTTGCTTCCAGAGGCAGTTTGGAACACTTCAGCACTCGGCGGACGCGTTCTGTGAGCTTGTGTGACCTACCACTTCGCGGCTGAGCCGTTGTTGCTCCTAGACGTTTCCACTTCACAATAACAGCACTTACAGTTGACCGGGGAAGCTCTAGCAGGGAAGAAATTTGAGGTACTGACATGTTGGAAAGGTGGCATCCTATGACGGTGCCACGTTGAAAGTCACTGAGCTCTTCAGTAACGCCATTCTACTGCCAATGTTTGTCTATGGAAATTGTACGGCCGGTGTGCTCGATTTTATACACCTGTCCGCAACGGTTGTGGCTGAAATAGCCGAATCCACTCATTAGATGGGTTGTCCGCATACTTTTGGCCATCTATTGTAGATGCTTTTCAAGGACCAAAGTTCAATACATGCATTTTATTTCACCACTGTTTAGCCGAATCCACTAATTTGAAGGAGTGTCCACATACTTTGGCATATATAGCGTATGTCTAAAGAGCACCCTGATCGGTAAGCTAACATACAGCCCTGTGTGTAAACTCACCCCAGGTACAAAGGTGAAAAGGTTGTACTTCTGGTTTTTGATGGCGTTCTTGGGGTACTTCTCCTCACACTTCTCCGGGTGGCCCAGCCACACTGTTCGGGCTTTCAGCTCCTTCTTCCTCCGACACGTACGAGCCAAGCAGTCACAGCAGCTGAAGGACAGAATGAAAGACGTCATCTTCACAACTTTCTTTATTGTGAATAACAAGCCACAGGTGACATTGTCACGAGAATCCCTTATTCCAGTGAGTAGTAGTCCAAGAATGGAAGAAACAAATAAAGAATGACATCTTAAGAAACATAATTGGAATTATGAGTACATACGCCCCAAACAAGGTTTTTGCTTTCATGGTTGTCTTCAACAAACAGAATTACCTAAATAAATAGGACTGCTTTCCTCATGATAGCCTTTGTAAAGGTCTGAAGTGTGGTGTCGCTGCTATGGAAATAAAATAGGTCTGGTGAGCTACCAAAGAAAGCTGCGTAACATTTACCTCTAGCTATGGAGCGGTTACTTTACACAATGATCATGGGATTGTTACTGTATCACTGGAGATCAGCTTGGATACTGCATGGTAGAGACTAGTACAGATTTGAGTACACATGAGCATGAGCAGGCTAGGCCTCTTCTCGTTCATAGCACTTAGCTCGTTGACGAGAAACACTGTGGTGGTCCAGCCCACTCTTTTTATTTAACCTTTATTTAACTAGGCAAGTCAGTTAAAAACAAATTCTTATTTACAATGACGGCCTACACCGGCCAAACCTGGACGACGCTGGGCCAACAACCGCCCTATGGGACTCCCAATCACGGCCGGTTGTGATACAGCCTGGAATCGAACCAGGGGGTCTGTCATGACACCTCAAGCACTGAGATGCAGTGCCTTAGACCGCTGCGCCACTCAGGAGCCCAAATGTTCATACTGTTCATTAAATGAACTGAAAAGGTTATGAGCACTCCAGGGCGGATTCCTGAATGAATTGAATGCTACGGCAGCCAGACTTCATTGCATGCTGAAGAGACCAGTGTCAAGTCCCACTCAAGAGACAGACATATGGAATAAATGTTTTTTACTAATAATTGCAGAGATTGTCAACTCTACAGATTTCTTTGTGAGTTTTTCCAGGGGTGGCTGAGTGGCGCTGGTAACATCCAGAGATCATCCATTTCCCATGCATCTGTGAGTCTACAAGAGGTTGCGAAGAGGCGACGATATCGGTTTCAGTCCAGTCTCAGTACAGTACTTTGTGTGATAAAAATAGCATTGCTTGTCTTTATTCAACCAACTAGTGGTACGGATAGCTAACCCATATGGGCCTATATTCAGTTTGATCTGACTAGGCCTATGCCCTAAGCTCTGGCACTAGAGGAGAAAGTCTGGCGTCATGGTGGTGTACACTGTCATGCTGATTGCCTTGGCATTTACAGTCTTTAAGCACGTTGGCAAAACACAAAGCAACATAAATCAACTTAACAAAATATGTGTTTGTGTTGGCTTCTATGTAAACCCTCTCTACACGCCACCATCCAGATTCACAAGAGAGATTATTTGCTCAAATTAATACTATTTAAACAATAGGACATTTGAATAAGCACGGTTATTCTGCATGAATTATTTGTGTTTTATAATCCTCTGCTAAGCATTCATAAAATTACTGGAAAGCATCAAACTGGTCAGCTGTGAAAAATCTGATTTGTTCATTAGGGAAAATATCAATATGCAGCATGAGCTGGAGATGCACCACTGATAACCAAACCAAAATGTAATTCTATCAAATTCATGGATAAACATTGCTAAAAGTTATTTGTTTAGCATTAAAATATCCCTCTACCATTTGTTTACAAACCGTATTACATTTTATTGGTGTTAGTGCTGATAAATGTTTTACTCTCACACATTGTAAATGGTATTTCAGTAGAGGATAGTACCCGTCAAATGAATCATTAGCTGGATAAGCTGCGTCGTATTGTTTGACCTCAGTCTTCAAATCAAAATTCGGCACCCTCCTCCCAAAGTGCACACTTGCCTATTCTCGACATGGATTTAATAGCATTGGATTGGTGTAAGCATTAGCTGGACGAATTTTCCACCATTGTTAAATCTTTGACGGGGAGTGTGCAAGTGCACACTTCAGTAGAAGGGGTGGAGAATCGGGATGCAGCCCAAAAGTTAGTGGTTCCACTTACCTGCCACAGAGGATCTTCCAGCCCCCCATGAGGAACCACCCCAGGCCTCTAGGTCTCTGGTTGACCCTGGCCCGAGGAAGGGTGTGGTAGTCACTCTTATCATTCTCAAAAACGTCCTCAGACATCATCAGCGGCATCTCGTCCAAGTTAGAGGGTTCATCTTCTAAAGAACACCTGGAAAGGAAGAACAATAGACTATACTCTAAATAATACAGCTAGGTACAAGTTAATACCAAGCAGGTACAGATCCTAACAAACCTGCAGTGAACATATTGACAGAAGAGACCTTAGAGCAAATGCATGTATGCTTACAAAATACAGACATTTGACAACTGGTCTTGTTGTTACACCACAATCTTTACAAAAACAGGAAGGAATTCATGGTAAAAGTGAGAACTTGGGAAGTAACAATAGTAAAGAGAGGGCAGAACATTCTAGACAGTTGTTTACCCAGACAACAACAAAGGCCTATCAGAGTGAGGATCTGTATTGATTGCAACCTTAAAGCAGAGGAACTTCAACATTTGTCAGTTAGTTTCACTACCACTCTGATAAACAACAGGTTCAACTCCTTAAAAAAAAATTCCTGACACGTTCCGCCTGCTTTATTGCATTACATCGATTCCACTGGGCCACATTTTTCACTTGACAAATAGGATCCTAGCATCCAGATCCAGACATGTATGGACCCTACAGTATCGATGCATGTAAACTATTCTCTACTGCATTTTACAGCTTTAATACCTCTGATGTGGGAATGAAAGACTACTGACAAATAGAATTAAGCCAGAGGAAAGGTTGGCTTGGTTCCTATGCCCTGGAGTAGCGTACACCACTCACATTATCACTAAGAGCACACAGGAAACACATAATGTCTTATTCATGAGGACTTTCTAAGGAATTTGGAGTAGGACTACTACAGTACCAGGTAAAGGAGGGCCTCACAATGATACTGGACTAACTATCCAAAATAAATATATTTAAAATAATATATACACTACCGTTCAAAAGTTTGGGGTCATTGTTTTTGAAAGAAAAGCAAATTTTTTGTCCATTAAAATAACATCAAATTGATCAGAAATACAGTGTAGACATTGTTAATGTTGTAAATGGCTATTGTAGCTGGAAACGGCTGATTTTTTATGGAATATCTACATAGGCGTACAGAGGCCCATTATCAGCAACCATCAGTCCTGTGTTCCAATGGCACGTTGTGTTTGCTAATCCAAGTTTATCATTTTAAAAGGCTAATTGATCATTAGAAAACCCTTTTGCAATTATGTTAGCACAGCTGAAAACTGTTGTGCTGATTAAAGAAGCAATACAACTGGCCTTCTTGAGACTAGTTGAGTATCTTGAGCATCAGCAATTGTGGGTTCAATTACAGGCTCAAAATGGCCAGAAACAAAGAGCTTTCTTCTGAAACTCGTCAGTCTATTCTTGTTCTGAGAAATGAAGGCTATTCCATGCGAGAAATTGCCAAGAAACTGAAGATCTCGTACAATGATGTGTACTACTCCCTTCACAGAACAGCGCAAACTGGCTCTAACCAGAATAGAAAGAGGAGTGGAGAAATACATTAGTGTGTCTAGTTTGAGAAACAGGCGCTTCACAGGTCCTCAAATGGCAGCTTCTATAAATAGTACCTGCAAAACACCAGTCTCAACATCAACAGTGAAGAGGCGACTCCGGGATGGTGACCTTCTAGGCAGAGTTGCAAAGAAAAAGCCATATCTCAGACTGGCCAATAAAAATAAAACATTAAGATGGGCAGTCTGAGATATGGCTTTTTCTTTGTAAATCTGCCTGGAAGGTCAGCATCCCGGAGTCGCCTCTTCACTGTTGACGTTGAAACTGGTGTTTTGCGGGTACTATTTAATGAAGCTGCCAGTTGAGGACCTGTGAGGCGCCCATTTCTCAAACTAGACACACTAATGTATTTGTCCTCTTGCTCAGTTGTGCACCGGGACCTCCCACTCCTCTTCTGGCTAGAGCCAGTTTGCGCTGTTCTGTGAAGGGAGTAGTACACAGCATTGTACGAGATCTTCAGTTTCTTGGCAATTTCTCGCATGGAATAGCCTTCATTTCTCAGAACAAGAATAGACTGACGAATTTCAGAAGAAAGCTCTTTGTTTCTGGCCATTTTGAGCCTGTAATTGAACCCACAATTGCTGATGCTCAAGATACTCAACTAGTCTCAAGAAGGCCAGTTGTATTGCTTCTTTAATCAGCACAACCGTTTTCAGCTGTGCTAACATAATTGCAAAAGGGTTTTCTAATGATCAATTAGCCTTTTAAAATGATAAACTAGGATTAGCAAACACAACGTGCCATTGGAACACAGGACTGATGGTTGCTGATAATGGGCCTCTGTACACCTATGTAGATATTCCATTAAAAATCTGCCGTTTCCAGCTACAATAACCATTTAAAACATTAACAATGTCTACACTGTATTTCTGATCAATTTTATGTTATTTTAATGGATAAAAAATTTGCTTTTCTTTCGAAAACAAGGAAATGTCTAAGTGACCCCAAACTTTTGAACGGTAGTGTATATATATATATATATATATATATATATATATATATATATATATATATATATATATATATATATATATATATATATATGGGATTGGAAATGATGCAGACAATTACATTGATAGAAGCCACAATCTGCAATATTAAAGCAGATCTACCAGCTTAAAAAAAAACACCAAATTAAATTAAAAAATAACTAAATAGATTTGAGAAATCTGCACATTCTGGTCCTCTTGCCTCAGTCAGCTCTCCAATGTAACAGCCAAATTGTGACATATGGGTTACAATGCAACTGGTTTAATCCTGTGAGGGTATCAGGTTCACTAACACTAGGCTAGAAGAGCTTCTCCCCTGGTTAGTGTAAACCCCTGGCTATTTTCCTTTCTGTGTTCATGTTATTCTACAGGTAGGCATAAGCTATTCCATTTCTGCAATTAGATCCTTTCTAAAAAGATTTACAAACCACTTTCCTCTAGCAATAATTGGCCTGTTCAAAATATCAAAGGCATAATTGGTAAATAATTCAAAGTTGTCAGCAAGCACAACATACCCATCTAATTTGGTTCAGCCTACATTGTCTAGCATTTCTTTTCAACAATGCATAGTCTCATTATGGAAACTTGCAAAACATGATACCTGCACTGTTTCAATTCCAATGCATAGCCAAGGCCTACATAACGAATCAATGAAAAGATGCTTCCCCTACATCAGAATGGAGGAGTGCAGAGGTATGCCAAGCCCAAGACAAATGGCAGGGCTTGCATAATAATCTAGCCAAGCATTTGTTGATGAATCTTTTAATTACACCCACAAATACAAAAATTAACAAAGGCACCGATTGATAATGAAAATTTGCTGTTGTTGTAATTGTAAGATATCAACAGTGAGCGCAGATGGAGGGCTTTAGTACAGAGGATTAGTACAAGTTCAGGGTCAACCCATCCAATATAGTAGCACTTGGTGCATATTAGCTCTACAGAGCAGTTCAATTGGCCAAGGCAGACACTTCTATGAGCCAGTAAATCAGGGAGATTCCCTACTAATGTTCCTACTTATCAGAAAAGTACAAGTTTCCGTCAGACATAGGATGTTGACCATGACCATTGAGGGGCTGTGGTGGAGGGAGTTTGCCTAGTAGGCCTAGATTGTATCATGGCTTATATGGAAGTCATTCTGAAAGAAACTGCACTGATGGCAGCGTCTTTGAGGATTTCCTTACTTGGAAAACAATGGAAATGATTTATGCATTTATGATGCTAAGTCTGGGAACTTCTCATAAGATTTGCGAGGAAAGCATTGAATAAACTGGAGGAAATCTTACTTCGTCCCGCAATGCGCCATTGGAAATTCGGCCCTGGAACCCCTTTCTGCCTAGTTGGTCTTGGAGGAACAGTGCAAGCAACATTTTGTGGTGGTGTATGGAAGTAGGGAAGCACGTTTGCAGGCAGTGCTTTTTTTTATGCACTGACCCAGACACAGCAGCGAATTGTCTATATAATGACCACATTCGAGGTCCATCGGCAAGGACATCTCTTCAGCAGCAGGTTATTGATCAGTGATCTAGTCACGCGCCCCGCCTCCAATTCTCTTCCTACTGTGACTCGCCCACCCAATCTGGACCACGAGATGGTTTCGAAAAACGCTTTGCCTAAGTGGATCTACACACTGTATTACCTAGTTTCCTTAAGTAAATCATGAGTTATCACTTGGAAATGTGGAATTATAAGCACTGTTTGCCAATAGCCTACCTATCTAGCTAAATAACCAGACGACAAAGAAGGAGCGAGTTGTGGAAACACGTAATGTGACGCTCGGCTTTTCTGTTATCTAACGTTAGCCGTGCTTGGCAAATAAAGGGCTCCTGAATCCTAGTCATTCCTAAAATAGTAATAGGTCGTTGCCTGCTTCGCATGTCGAGAGAGATGAACAGTTGTCATACAGCTTCCAAATAACCCTGCTTCGTTTGTTGAGAGCAGCGCCAGGTAGGAAACGCTTGTTTAGCTCGCGTAACTACCTCGAGCCACGAAACCACCATTATTTCAACGTCTCCAAACTACTGAAATGCAAAAATATCTAAAATGATATCTCCACCGCTTAAACAAAAAAAAAGTAACTGTGTCCCATACCTGGAATGTCTTGCAGTGTTGTAATAAGCAAGTTTTTTTGAGTTCTTCCACAACGGGTTTAGCAGGATACTGTCAGCCATCTTGGCTGGACTGTACACATCATGACGTCACTGCCAGTCCCACAACGTTGACGCCCCGGAAAAAATGATGGCACTTTCAATGCCGCGTTCAAAACAACTGGGAACTCCGGAACTCCGTTTTGTAGTCTACAATTATGAATTAATGTCGCCACATGTCAAGCAGTAATGCTTCAAACAGTAAAATTTGGAAAAAACACTTCTCAAATTGTAGATATTTAAAATACTATGAAATATTGTAAACTAGACAAGTCAATTATTTTCATTCATTAGATGTCTGTCGGCCCAGCAAATTGTTTGTAAAAAGATTTCCACTTCCATTATTTTGTAGGCCATCCTGCCATAGCACACTAGGGAAAAAAGTGTCTTTCTGTAGCCTTCATACAGAAAAAAGGTCTTGGATTTGCGTCTTTGAAGCCTCCTCTGTACATCACATTTAGAAATCAGTTCTCAGGGGAGGATATAAAATGCTGAAATCACTATGGAGAGGAACAAAACTGGTAACAAAACATGTTTTGACTAAAACATATAGCCTACATTTTGTTTATATATGCATCTGTAAGCCAATACATTTTATATTTTTTACTGAGTATAGCAAACATTAGGAACACCTTCCTAATATTGAGTTGCACCCATGTTGACTCCAATGCTTCTCACAGTTGTGTCAAGTTGGCTGGATGTCTTTTGGGTGGTGGACCATTCTTGATACACACGGGAAATTGTTGAGCGTGAAAAAAACCAGCAGCATTGCAGTTCTTGAAACAAACCATACCCCATTCAAAGGCATTTAAATATTTTGTCTGGCCCATTCACCCTCTGAATGGCACACATACACAATCCATGTCTCAATTGTCTCAAGGCCTAAAAATCCTTCTTTAACCTGTCTCTTCCCCTTCATCTACACTGATTGAAGTGGATGTAACAAGTGACATCAATAAGGGATCATAGCATTCACCTGGATCCACCTGGTCATTCTATGTCATGGAAAGAGCAGGTGTCCTTAATGTTTTGTATACTCAATGTAGATTTTGGATGCAGAGAATATAACTTACATGAGGAAGCTGAAATCCATGCTGATATACAGCGTAAAGTCCAGTGAAGACATGGGACATGCAATTTAAGATTAATTAAATTCAAGAAATGATTGTCCATCCTTACGGATGCAAAATTACTTGCACAAATGCTTCAATTTGAAGGCTAACACCATGTACTCTTTTTTTGTTATATAATTTAAATCCCATTAAGTTCTAAAAGAGTTAAAAAAGAGAGCACACCCCGCTGTGTGATGATGTGATTTAAAGGAGTCAGGCGCAGGAGGGTAAATCAAAGGTTTATTCCGTTGACACAGCGGTACGCAGCAATGTGTCAAACACTCCAGTGCGGAAATATACAGCACACTGGAAACAGCAAGGCACACGGGTGAATATCCCAGAGATACACAATACAAGCGCTCCACCGAGCTAAACTAACCTCCACAATAAACAATCACACACAAAGACAAGGGGGCAGAGGGAACACTTATACAGGTACTGATGAGGGGAATTGAAACCAGGTGTGTGTAATAAACAAGACAAAACAAATGGAATGATGAGATGAGGAGCGGCAGTGGCTAGAAGGCTGGTGAAAACGAACGCCGAAGCCTGCCCGAGCAAGGAAAGGAGGCAGCTTCGGAGGAAGTCGTGACACGCTGGGCAAAAACTGGGTGCATCAATGTTGTTTCCACGTCATTTCAACAAAACAAATACATCTGATGAGGTTGAATCAACGTGGAAAACTAATTTGCAAAAAGTCATCAACGTACAGGAATTTCATATTTTTTAAATAGAAATGTTCACCTAAATCAAATGACATGGTGACATTTTTTTGTTGAATTCACGTTAGTAGACATCTCAACCAAATCAATCAAAACTACATTTACATTTGCATTTACGTCATTTAGCAGACGCTCTTATCCAGAGCGACTTACAAATAGGTGCATTCACCTTATAGCCAGTGGGATAACCACTTTACAATGTTTTTTATTTATTTATTTATTTTTGGGGGGGGAGGGGGGGGTTTGAGTAAAGGGGGGGGTGGGGGTAGAAGGATTACTTTATCCTATCCCAGGTATTCCTTAAAGAGGTGGGGTTTCAAATGTCTCCGGAAGGTGGTGAGTGACTCCGCTGTCCTGGCGTCGTGAGGGAGCTTGTTCCACCATTGGGGTGCCAGAGCAGCGAACAGTTTTGACTGGGCTGAGCGGGAACTATGCTTCCGCAGAGGTAGGGGAGCCAGCAGGCCAGAGGTGGATGAACGCAGTGCCCTCGTTTGGGTGTAGGGACTGATCAGAGCCTGAAGGTACGGAGGTGCCGTTCCCCTCACAGCTCCGTAGGCAAGCACCATGGTCTTGTAGCAGATGCGAGCTTCAACTGGAAGCCAGTGGAGTGTGCGGAGGAGCGGGGTGACGTGAGAGAACTTGGGAAGGTTGAACACCAGACGGGCTGCGGCATTCTGGATGAGTTGTAGGGGTTTAATGGCACAGGCAGGGAGCCCAGCCAACAGCGAGTTGCAGTAATCCAGACGGGAGATGACAAGTGCCTGGATTAGGACCTGTGCCGCTTCCTGTGTAAGGCAGGGTCGTACTCTCCGAATGTTGTAAAGCATGAACCTACAGGATCGGGTCACCGCCTTGATGTTAGCGGAGAACGACAGGGTGTTGTCCAGGGTCACGCCAAGGCTCTTCGCACTCTGGGAGGAGGACACAACGGAGTTGTCAACCGTGATGGTGAGATCATGGAACGGGCAGTCCTTCCCCGGGAGGAAGAGCAGCTCCGTCTTGCCGAGGTTCAGCTTGAGGTGGTGATCCGTCATCCATACTGATATGTCTGCCAGACATGCAGAGATGCGATTCGCCACCTGGTTATCAGAAGGGGGAAAGGAGAAGATTAGTTGTGTGTCGTCAGCGTAGCAATGATAGGAGAGGCCATGTGAGGATATGACAGTGCCAAGTGACTTGGTGTATAGCGAGAATAGGAGAGGGCTTAGAACTGAGCCCTGGGGGACACCAGTGGTGAGAGCACGTGGTGCGGAGACAGCTTCTCGCCACGCCACTTGGTAGGAGCGACCGGTCAGGTAGGACGCAATCCAAGAGTGAGCCGCGCCGGAGATGCCCAGCTCGGAGAGGGTGGAGAGGAGGATCTGATGGTTCACAGTATCAAAGGCAGCAGACAGGTCTAGAAGGACAAGAGCAGAGGAGAGAGAGTTAGCTTTAGCAGTGCGGAGAGCCTCCGTGACACAGAGAAGAGCAGTCTCAGTTGAATGACCAGTCTTGAAACCTGACTGGTTTGGATCAAGAAGGTCATTCTGAGAGAGATAGCAAGAGAGTTGGCTAAAGACGGCACGCTCAATAGTTTTGGAGAGAAAAGAAAGAAGGGATACTGGTCTGTAGTTGTTGACATCAGAGGGATCGAGTGTTGGTTTTTTGAGAAGGGGTGCAACTCTCGCTCTCTTGAAGATGGAAGGGACATAGCCAGCGGTCAAGGATGAGTTGATCAGTGAGGTGAGGTAAGGGAGAAGGTCACCGGAGATGGTCTGGAGAAGAGAGGAGGGGATAGGGTCAAGCGGGCAGGTTGTTGGGCGGCCTGCCGTCACAAGTCGCAAGATTTTATCTGGAGAGAGAGGGGAGAAAGAAGTCAAAGCATAGGGTAGGGCAGTGTGAGCAGGAACAGCAGTGTCATTTGACTTAACAAACGAGGATCGGATGTCGTCAACCTTCTTTTCAAAATGGTTGACGAAGTCATCCACAGAGAGGGAGGAGGGGGGGGGGGGGGATTCAGCAGGGAGGAGAATGTGGCAAAGAGCTTCCTAGGGTTAGAGGCGGATGCTTGGAATTTAGAGTGGTAGAAAGTGGCCTTAGCAGCAGAAATAGATGAAGAGAATGTAGAGAGGAGGGAGTGAAAAGATGCCAGGTCCGCAGGGAGTCTAGTTTTCTTCCATTTCCGCTCGGCTGCCCGGAGCCCTGTTCTGTGAGCTCGCAATGAGTCATCAAGCCACGGAGCTGGAGGGGAGGACCGAGCCGGCCGGGAGGATAGGGGACATAGAGAGTCAAAGGATGCAGAAAGGGAGGAGAGGAGGGTTGAGGAGGCAGAATCAGGAGATTGGAGGGAGAAGGATTGAGCAGAGGGAAGAGATGATAGGATGGAAGAGGAGAGAGTAGCGGGAGAGAGAGAGCGAAGGTTGCGACGGCGCATTATCATCTGTGTAGGGGCAGAGAGAGTAGTGTTGGAGGAGAGGGAGAGAGAAAAGGATACAAAGTAGTGGTCGGAGACTTGGAGGGGAGTTGCAGTGAGATTAGTAGAAGAACAGCATCTAGTGAAGATGATGTCAAGCGTATTGCCTGCCTTGTGAGTAGGGGGGGACGGTGAGAGGGTGAGGTCAAAAGAGGAGAGGAGTGGAAAGAAGGAGGCAGAGAGAAATGAGTCAAATGTAGACGTAGGGAGGTTGAAATCCCCCAGAACTGTGAGGGGTGAGCCATCCTCAGGAAAGGAACTTATCAAGGCGTCAAGCTCATTGATGAACTCTCCAAGGGAACCTGGAGGGCGATAGATGACAATGATATTAAGCTTAAATGGGCTAGTGACTGTGACAGCATGGAATTCAAATGAGGAGATAGACAGATGGGTCAGGGGAAAAATTGAGAATGTCCACTTGGGAGAGATGAGGATTCCTGTGCCACCACCCCGCTGACCAGATGCTCTCGGGGTATGCGAGAACACATGGTCAGACGAGGAGAGAGCAGCAGGAGTAGCAGTGTTTTCAGTGGTAATCCATGTTTCCGTCAGCGCCAAGAAGTCGAGGGACTGGAGGGTAGCATAGGCTGAGATGAACTCTGCCTTGTTGGCAGAAGAACGGCAGTTCCAGAGGCTGCCTGAGACCTGGAACTCCACGTGGGTCGTGCGTGCAGGGACCACCAGGTTAGAGAGGCAGCAGCCACGCGGTGTGAGGCGTTTGTGTAGCCTGTGCGGAGAGGAGAGAACAGGGATAGGCAGAGGCATAGTTGACAGGCTGCAGCAGATGGCTACAATAATGCAGAGGAGATCGGAATGAAATGAACTAAACATCTGGGAAAGGAGAGAGCGGGGCCTCCCTCACCACAACTCCCAAATATAACTCTCCCAACTTCCACCTCAGAAACTATAATTGTTGTAAACTACAGCGGTTCAATGTTTTCTAGGAATATACTAACTTAGTTTATTCAGCTAGCTAACTAGGTGCAGTATTATTCCGTGAAAAACGTCCGGGCACCTCGTCATAAGACGCCACACCCAGCTAGCATGCCGGTCTCCAACAACACGGTTTAGCGCCAATACTCAGCCACAACAAACCACCAGTGTATCAACACGCAAGCAGATCGTTCGTGTCCGTGTCTAACGTTGTGGGTTAGTCCCGACAGCTTGAGCGAGTCCGTCGTCAACTTATTCAGCCAGTTAGTTAGCTAGGATAGTTAGCAAACTAGCTAGCCATTGCTTTCAGACAAAGAAGAACCCCTCCTTTCACGGCACGAACACAAAGAGAGCCAAACTAACGTTAACTAGTCACCCATGTCCCGAATTCCTTGAACGACTCGGGCTATCAATATGTAAAGAACAAAACACAAGTGTAGGTTATGACTTACCCCTAGCAGCTACTGTTAGCTAGCCAAGTGCAAAGCTAGCCACTGAATTGACTCAACCAGTTCGCGTCTGTTCGTTCGGTCGTTCCAGCTATTGTTTACTAGTCGCTATCCAGGTAGCAACAAGCTAGCTACATTTCAAGCACAGTAGCCACTTGCTACCTAACGTTAACGGTTCAGACAATGAGGTTAGAAAACAGCTGAATGGTAGGCAGTTCTTGTATGTAATTATTGTAGGCAGCCAGCTGGCGTAATAACAAGCACTCTCAGGCGTGAGACAACTATACCGTTGCTAATAGCTACTCGCCAGCTAGGTGGTGAGTTAGCTAGCTAGCTAGCTTCGTGCTACACCCGGCACCGCCGTATACAGTACTAACCTACAATAATTACATACAACAACCCACGATACCTACCTACAATACCTAACTACAATCTAAATACATAGTTTAAGCCTTACTCGACAAAGCCCAAGCTATGTATAAAGCCAAACTTACCCGACGCCAAGCTTACCCGACGACCTCCTCCTCAGGTAAGCAGCTATCCTAGGCTGATCTTCACAACAGCAGCATGTCGTCAGTGAGAAATGAGGAGGACTCACTTCTCTATGTTGAAATTATGTCTGTGCCCAGTGGGACAGTATGTTTTTTATAGTTCTAGTTTTATATTCAACTCAACCATTGTGATGCATCTTGAATTAAAAGTAAATTATAATGACACATATTTGTAACTTCTAGAACACAATTTGGAAATACTGTATGCATACAGTAGTGGGCATAAGACAGATTCCTATTTTTGCATTTCTAAATCACATTTTCCCTTTTTAGAGTAATAGAGTATGTGGCTTTAGTAAGCACCATGGACAAAGTGAAATAACTTGTTTGTGTGGGCAAAACCAACATTTGCAAATGAACAGTAAAATAAAACAAGAATGAAATACTATAGCTCTGTGAATTAATACAATGTTTTTTATCTGTATATAATATGACACATTGAGTTAACAGGTATTGTATTCGGGCGCATGTGACAAATAAAATATGTTTACAGTGGGGAAAAAAAGTATTTAGTCAGCCACCAATTGTGCAAGTTCTCCCACTTAAAAAGATGAGAGAGGCCTGTAATTTTCATCATAGGTACACGTCAACTATGACAGACAAATTGAGAATATTTTTTCCAGAAAATCACATTGCAGGATTTTTTATGAATTTATTTGCAAATTATGGTGGAAAATAAGTATTTGGTCACCTACAAACAAGCAAGATTTCTGGCTCTCACAGACCTGTAACTTCTTCTTTAAGAGGCTCCTCTGTCCTCCACTCGTTACCTGTATTAATGGCACCTGTTTGAACTTGTTATCAGTATAAAAGACACCTGTCCACAACCTCAAACAGTCACACTCCAAACTCCACTATGGCCAAGACCAAAGAGCTGTCAAAGGACACCAGAAACAAAATTGTAGACCTGCACCAGGCTGGGAAGACTGAATCTGCAATAGGTAAGCAGCTTGGTTTGAAGAAATCAACTGTGGGAGCAATTATTAGGAAATGGAAGACATACAAGACCACTGATAATCTCCCTCGATCTGGGGCTCCACGCAAGATCTCACCCCGTGGGGTCAAAATGATCACAAGAACGGTGAGCAAAAATCCCAGAACCACACGGGGGGACCTAGTGAATGACCTGCAGAGAGCTGGGACCAAAGTAACAAAGCCTACCATCAGTAACACACTACGCCGCCAGGGACTCAAATCCTGCAGTGCCAGACGTGTCCCCCTGCTTAAGCCAGTACATGTCCAGGCCCGTCTGAAGTTTGCTAGAGTGCATTTGGATGATCCAGAAGAGGATTGGGAGAATGTCATATGGTCAGATGAAACCAAAATAGAACTTTTTGGTAAAAACTCAACTCGTCGAGTTTGGAGGACAAAGAATGCTGAGTTGCATCCAAAGAACACCATACCTACTGTGAAGCATGGGGGTGGAAACATCATGCTTTGGGGCTGTTTTTCTGCAAAGGGACCAGGACGACTGATCCGTGTAAAGGAAAGAATGAATGGGGCCATGTATCGTGAGATTTTGAGTGAAAACATCCTTCCATCAGCAAGGGCATTGAAGATGAAACGTGGCTGGGTCTTTCAGCATGACAATGATCCCAAACACACCGCCCGGGCAACGAAGGAGTGGCTTCGTAAGAAGCATTTCAAGGTCCTGGAGTGGCCTAGCCAGTCTCCAGATCTCAACCCCATAGAAAATCTTTGGAGGGAGTTGAAAGTCTGTGTTGCCCAGCGACAGCCCCAAAACATCACTGCTCTAGAGGAGATCTGCATGGAGGAATGGGCCAAAATACCAGCAACAGTGTGTGAAAACCTTGCAAAGACTTACAGAAAACGTTTGACCTGTGTCAAAGGGTATATAACAAAGTATTTAAGAAACTTTTGTTATTGACCAAATACTTATTTTCCACCATAATTTGCAAATAAATTCATTAAAAATCCTACAATGTGATTTTCTGGATTTCTCATTTTGTCTGTCATAGTTGACGTGTACCTATGATGAAAATTACAGGCCTCTCTCATCTTTTTAAGTGGGAGAACTTGCACAATTGGTGGCTGACTAAATACTTTTTTCCCCCACTGTAGATGTTTACAAATAAATCAATTAATGATTCTCTACATTGTTTGTATAATATATTTATCTTATTAATCTACCATTAAACTTATTTCAATTGATCCCAATCTTTTTACTGTCATCAATTAACATAGAAAAGTATCGGTTAATTCCAAGGTCCATGGCTGTCTTTCCTAGACTGGTCATTGGTGGGCTACCTCCAGTGCTGACTCTGTCCGTTCCTGCCGTCATGGCATGAAGCTGTGGAATCCACCCATTCTGGATCACTGAGATCTCATTGTTCTTCATGGCCAGGCCATTGGTTAAAGATTCTGTGTAGTGGTTCCAGAACCCTGTGTCCACGTTCATGGCCTGTGCCGTCAGGTCCTTCTGAAACATCTCTCCGAACTTCATGGCAGCTTCCCCACCCAACAAGACCATGGGGTTCTCCACCGACAGATGCCTGCCTCTTCTGGCTGGTGCATTGTTCCACATGTGAGTGCCCATGTGTACCTAAAGAGGAATGGGCGAGAGGGGATAGACCATATAGCATTTTCATCTATAAACTAAGCTGAAAATATTCTAAAATAGTTTGAACAACAGGCACTGATTCTTTAGCGTGTTTGGGTAATAAATGCAGTAATTACAATCCAAAATAAACGTGTAGTACCTTCAGGTTTCCTTTAGTTGTGAATGCCCTGCCACAGATGGTGCAGCCAAAAGGTTTCTCCCCTGTGTGGGTCCTCTCATGGATCTGTAGAGCACTGGCTGAGGAGAAGTTCTTTCCACAGGTGTGGCAGTTGTGCTGCTTAGGGGTCCGTCGAGGTTGAGGTGGCCCAAGCAGAGAGGTGATTCCTGGGCTCACCAGAGATGGAGGAGTGGCAGGGACCGGGAGGCCAAATGGATGATGCAGCCCCTCGTTGAAGTTCATTGGTCGATGGTACCCATTCATTTCAGATTTGATCATCCTTGGCACAATGCTGGTAACCAGGCCAGGAATGCTTTGGCTGGCACCTAAAACAATTAGATAAAGGGATGTTTTAGAGTTTTAAAATGTTTTGGGGGTAAATGAGTGAGATCTACATTTGCTAGATAGTGAAGGGGGAAAACAACATTTTCAACCGTTGTAGTGATATACAGTAGAACATTTAAAAATGGAACACCGTTTTACATTGTTATTACACCTACTCTATACAATTGATATTATCAGTTGATATTGTTATCTTACCACGTTCTCTCAGATCCAGGGCCACTCCATTTTCCAGTACCGGAGTCAAGGTGGGCGAATCAGATTGCTCACTCTTCACTGAGGCTGTGATCTCTTGGGACTCTCCACTGTGCTTCCCAGACAGGGATTTGCAGAGGTGGACCTCAGAGTTGCTTTGTGCAGGTGACACTGGTACATGCATGTAGGTGGACGATTCAGACACGGTTGGGCTGCCGGCTGCATTGTGATTCTGTCCTTCTCCCACTGTAGAGGAGTGGATAGCAGCGCAGCGTTCACTGTCCATACATCCATTCATCATTGACTTTAGCCCAAAGGAGTGGTTTAGGTTTATGGTGGAGTCTATCATTTTCATTTGGTTCTCCGGTGCAGCTATGCTGGAGACAACAGCATCAGAGTAGGGAGGAGAACTACAGACAGAGCTCAGGGGTTTGAGGGGATCTACACCTTCTTCTTCTTTTTCTTCTTCTTCTTCTTCTTCTTCTTCTTCTTCGTCATCCTCCTCCATGGAGTTGTCATCCATGAGGTCATTGTCATAGTTACTCAGGCTGTCAAAGCTTTTCTCATGGAAGGAGAGATCAATGTCCAGGTCCTGCAGGCCGTCCATTAACGGTGAGTTTAAGATCTGACTCCCCATATGCATGTGAAGGTGCTGCTGTAGCACTACAGCGTTGGTGAACTTCTTCTGGCAGATGGGACATGAATGTTGAACCCGGTGAGGAGGGTTTGCTCTGTGGACACCAATGTGTGTCTTAAGGTTTCCTTTGGTGGTGAAAGCCCTGCCACAGACCTTACATTGAAAGGGCATCTCCCCAGTGTGGATATGGTAATGCATCTTCAGCATGCTCTGGCAGCTAAGCACGCGGTGACAGAGGACACATTGGTTGGGGTCTGTTATTTTCTTGTCTATGTTCTCCACCAGCTGCTGGAGCTTTGAGGTCTCTGACGTTTGCATAGAGTCCAAGAGGCCACCGAATGGAAACTTGGCTTTGAACAGGTCAGAGGCCAGGGAAAGTGGTGAGGAGTTGGAAACGGGGGAAGTTGGAGCACTGGGCTCAGGTGTGGATGTGGTCATAATCATGGCTGTACTTGTTGTCACAGTAATTGGACTCACCCTGGGTTTAGTCGTGCAGATTTGGGGCAGGTGCATTTCCTCTGCTTTCAAGACGTTGGAGGCTTCCCCCTCCTGATTAGACTGTGGAGACTCTAAAGCTGTGGGAACACTGGTTTCATTGCCTGTAGTGTTCGGCGACAAAGACACACATTCACTTGAGTCTGGGGAGGGCCTAAAAGGGGATTTGATGGATAGTGTGACACTTAGAAAGTCACTTGAGCTTCCCATAGTAGTGAGAGTGGAGGGAAGCTGAAGGCCCATAGAGGGCGCTAAAACAGGCTTGCTATCCAGCCAAGTGGCTGCTGGTTTTTCAGGAGGGAATGACATTCCATTGTCTAAATATTCTGGCACTGGATAAGGGTTCATCTGAACATGGGGATACTTTTCTTTGTGTCTTTGGAAGTGGACTTTCAGGTTCCCTTTCGTGGAGAAGCGATTGCCACAGATGTTGCATTTGAAGGGCCTCTCCCCAGTGTGAGAGCGCAGGTGGATCTGCAGCGCGCTGTCGCTGCCAAACACTTTGGCGCAGAACCTGCACTTATGCTTGAAAAAGGGCTGCTCAGGGCTGGGCTTGGTGTCAAACATGGACACATTGGGCAGCTTGCCATTCCGGTGGTGCTTCATCAGGACAGAGAAGGGGTCGAGAGCGTTAGTCGTGGCTGTGATTTTGGCCAGGGGGTTGGGGAAGATGACACTGCTGGGGGGGCTCTGAGGTAGACACGGCAGGCTGGATGGTGAGCTGAGGAGACTGTTGCTCTGACCCTGCATGGACAGTGGGCTGGACGATGTCTGGGTCTGAGTACAGCTACCACTTGTATGTGAACCCGTGTAGGTAGGCTGTAATAAGGAAATATTGTTGCAGCTAGTAGGGGGAGGGGCAGAGTTGTCCGAGGGAGCTGAGGTACATATAACATCTCTCGTGTGGGCCTGTCCATATGAAGTTTGTGAGGTGAGTGTGTGGGACCTCTCAAGCACAGATGCCAAAGACACAGACACTTGTCCATTGACGGCAGAGGGTATCGTCCCATACTGTGGTAGGACAGGGGGAGCGATGAGACCTTGGAAGGGGAAAGGGTTCGGTGCCAGTGATAGGGCCCTGGAGACCACCTGGCTACGGATCTGCTCAATAAGATGCAACTGGTGGACCTGTTGCTGTTGCAAAGCCAGCAGGTGCTCCAGGATCACTAGGATGGCTGCTGTGGCCGCCTTCCCTCCTGCCCCACTACTGTGGAGGCTCTGGGAGAACTGGGCCACAGCCACCTGGGTACTGTGGAGGATCTCCAGCGTTACGTTCGTACTGGGCATGCTGTTGGTCACAGCGGACGACTGAAATGAAGGGATGGCCAACTCGGTTCTTTCTGGGGGATTCTGGGGGCCAGATGACTTATGTTTGTCGTGGTGCTGCTGCTCCATCTCCATGGATTCATCCTCCCTCTCTCCCATGTTCATCTCCTCTAACATATCTGTGCTGTCATTATCATTATCATTCACAGGCTCCACCAGCTCAAGGCCCCCGTCCACTGACTCAATGTCTGCTGAGTTGCTGGGGGCCAGGCTAAGAAGGGCCAGGCTGGGGGTTCGGGAGGATCCAGCTTGGGATCCCTCAGGTCCAGGCATCCCCTCATCTTCCTTCACAATGAGGACCTGAGCTGGGTCCTCTGTGGAGCTTCTCTGGTGCTCATACAGTTCGGCCCAGGTGAAGAACTCAGCAAATTTTTCACACACGTGCGTTTCTTCACTGTTACTGTGCCGCTCCTCCTTGTCCATTCCCTCCAATTGTGCTGCATGGAAAACAGGGAGAGAAGAAAATAATTATTAGTTAATATTACTATGATTACAGACTATAACGCTTCAATTACAGTAAGAGTAAATATTTTCAATGATAAACAAAATCTATAGTTTTCATTCTAAATCTATAGATTAATTGTATCATATTAGACCCAGTTTCTACTAAATTAAATCTAATTTTATGCAATCTCCTTTTATGCAGATTATGTGACCTATCAATTGTGCATACAGCAACTGAATTACATTTATTGATTATTGATTTCCAATGCATTCATACAATTGTCCGTTGAGTACAAATTGGGTCTTTGACTCGCTCATTCCCTACTGCAATCAACCACTAATTTCCGCAGCAGGAATTTCAAATGGTATTCCACAACACTTGACTCTGTCAAACAAACATGTTATCATTGTCTATTAGAGCATGTCTGGAAAAAATGCAACATTATCTTTGTGAAATTGTTTACAAAATGACCTTCTGTAAACAAGTTGAAAACAAGGACATACAATTGCAATATTTCAAAACAATATTTTACAGTGAATTCAAATGACTACATTCTGTGAATGAATGAGTGATCTGATATTTAAAGTGTAGTAATTTAAGAAACAAAACAAGGAAAACCCAATAATTGATCTTCATTTATTCAATTCTATAGGAACCTTTTAAATTATTAATCTATAATTCTGCTTCTATATAAAAGTAATACTTAGTTGAAACATGTTATCAGTCTAGATCATTAAAATATGTACTTCTTGGTCTGATGTTGATATTAAATAACTTCACTAATACTTACATAATCCAGCTATAAACACGTGATACCTCCCTTGCACACACAAGATAATGATATTTCTTTCATTTATCTTGGGGCCCTGTGTAGCTCAGTTGGTAGAGCATGGCGCTTGCAACGCCAGGGTTGTGGGTTTGTTTCCCACGGGGGGCCAGTATGAAACATGTATGCACTCACTAACTGTAAGTCGCTCTGGATAAGAGCGTCTGCTAAATGACTAAAATGTCAATTTGACCAGCGCCCATAGGGTGCCATTTTCAGCCTTTCTTTTATTACACTTACACCCAAGTTGCTTTTCCTTCTTTTTTCCTAAACAGTCTATAAAGTCAGGAAAAATTCCAGCAAAAGGGATGACTGTGCGTGTTTACACTTCTATAGAATATGATAGAATGTAAATATGGCATAAACTTATCTTCGTGCTGTGATCTATCCAAGGTTTTGTCTATTCTGTACACCCAATACATTAAATAAAACAAGTTTTGTTCAAACAAGTTAACATTGTAGCAAAACAAATGTTGGGTGCTTAGAACTGTCAAACAAACACTGATAGACCTTCTGTCTTACTATTTTTGAGTGCATTCATGGAACTGGTTGAAAAACAGAGCCATTGTGACAGCACATACGCACAGCGGCTTTCACAATGATTGTGTGTGCTTGTGTGTGTGTGTGTCTGAGGATGTCTGGCCTACTGTGTGGGATTGTCACAACATTTGTCTATGTATGCGGATGACTCAACACTATACACGTCAGCTACTACAGCGACTGAAATGACTGCAACACTTAACAAAGAACTGCAGTTAGTTTCAGAACGGGTGGCAAGGAATAAGTTAGTCCTAAATATTTCAAAAACTAAAAGCATTGTATTTGGGACAAATCATTCACTAAACCCTAAACCTCAACTAAATATTGTAATAAATAATGTGGAAATTGAGCAAGTTGAGGTGACTAAACTGCTTGGAGTAACCCTGGATTGTAAACTGTCGTGGTCAAAACATATTGATACAACAGTAGCTAAGATGGGGAGAAGTCTGTCCATAATAAAGTGTTGCTCTACCTTCTTAACAACATTATCAACAAGGCAGGTCCTACAGGCTCTAGTTTTGTCGCATCTGGAGTACTGTTCAGTCGTGTGGTCAGGTGCCACAAAAAGGTACTTAGGAAAATGTCTACTGGCTCAGAACATACAAATACACCTTATGGAACAGCGGGGACTGTGAAGCAACACAAACATAGGTCCAGACACATGCATACACACACATGATAACATACGCACTATACACATACGTACACATGGATTTTGTGTTGTAGATATGTAGTAGTAGAGTAGTGGCCTGAGGGCACACACTTAGTGTGTTGTGAAATCTGTTGTGAATGTATTGTAATATGTTTTTTAAATTGTATAACTGCCTTAATTTTGTCGGACCCCAGGAAGAGTAGCTGCTGCCTTGGTAGCAGCTAATGGGGATCCATAATAAATACAGATACATAATCTTTGACTGAGGTGGGGGGAAATATTATGAATTAATTACAAAAATAAATACCATGCTGATAAGATTAAACCTGATAGTAATAAATCATTTTGAGTTTAAGGACCTCTGAGCAAAGATTCTGATGATTCTGATTCGATCATTGTGCCAAACCCTATTACAACCACTTTAACACCATAAAACTTATAAAACTGTGGAACAATATTCATATTGTTCAATATTCATTTCAAAACTCTTTATTTAATTTGACCTGTGAGTATTTTATTTTAGAAAGATTATCACAAATTCATGTTAAGAGAGATTCACTTCAAGGCCAAATTACCATGAAATTATCTTAATATATAAATAATATATTATCATAACGATAAATGTGATATTATTGAAACATATGTTTATTTAAATTGATATTTCCATCAGCCATATGAGAACAATATAGTCCTACACTTAAGCATCATCCAGAAAACTTTAAAAACATTTAGCCTATTTCACTCCCTTGAGTTTATTGTGGTGGTTGAGTACTATTGTTTGTGATATATATATATATATATATATATATATATATATATATATATATATATATATATATATATATATATACACAGTACCAGTCAAACGTTTGGACACACCTACTCTTTCAAGGGGTTTTCTTTATTTTTACTATTTTCTACATTGTAGAATAATAGTGAAGACATCAACACTATGAAATAACACATATGGAATCATGTAGTAACCAAACAAGTGTTAAACAAATCAAAATATATTTTATATTTGAGATTCTTCAAATAGCCACCCTTTGCCTTGATGACAGCTTTTCACAATCTTGGCATTCTCTCAACCAGCTTCACCTGGAATGCTTTTCCAACAGTCTTGCAGGAGTTCCCACATATGCTGAGCACTTGTTGGCTGCTTTTCCTTCACTCTGCCATCCGACTCATCCCAAACCATCTCAATGGATCTTTCTGTACTTTGCTCCGTTCATCTTTCCCTCGACCCTGACTAGTCTCCCAGTCCCTGCCGCTGAAATACATCCCCACAGCATGATGCTGCCACCACCATGCTTTACCATAGGGATGGTGCCAGAGTTCAATCTTGATTTCATCAGACCAGAGAATCTTGTTTGTCATGGTCTGAGAGTCCTTTAGTTGCCTTTTGGCAAACTCCAAGCGGGCTGTCATGTGGAATGGCTTCCGTCTGGCCATTCTATCATAAAGGCCTGTTTGGTTGAGTGCTGCAGAGATGGTTGTCCTGCTGGAAGGTTCTCCCATCTCCACAGAGGAATTCTGGAGCTCTGTCAGAGTGACCATCGGGTTCTTGGTCCCCTCCCTGACCAAGGCCCTTCTCCCTCGATTGCTCAGTTTGGCCGGATGGCCAGCTCTAGGAAGAGTCTTGGTGGTTCCAAACTTCTTCCATTTAAGAATGATGGAGGCCACTGTGTTCTTGGGGACCTTCAATGCTGCAGAAATGTTATGGGACCCTTCCCCTGATCTGTGCCTCAACACAATCCTCTCTCTGAGCTCTACGGACAATTCCTTTGACTTCCTGGCTTGGTTTTTGCTCTGACATGCACTGTCAACGTTGAGACCTTATATAGACAGGTGTGTGCCTTTTCAAATCATGTCCAATCAATTGAATTTACCACAGGTAGACTTCAATCAAGTTGTAGAGACATCTCAAGGATGATCAATGGAAACAGGATGCACCTGAGCTCCATTTCAAGTCTCATAGCAAAGGGTCTGTATATGTTTTTTAGTTTGAATACATTTGCATCATTTCTAAAAACCTGTTTTCGCTTTGTCGTTATGGGGTATTGTGTGTAGATTGATGAGGAAAACAATTTACTTAATCAATTTTAGAATAAGACTGTCTCGTAACAAAATGTGGAAAAAGGGAAAGGGTCTGAATACTTTCCGAATGCACTGTATTTATTCAAATAAACACTTTCAGAGAAGCAGCCTCCCACTGGGCACACCAAGTCATTTCAACTTGGATAATTTGGTAATATTTGGTTGAGACGTTGATCAATGAGGTAACAACCTATATTCCCCCACTCAAACAGACAGCCAAAAGTTAATTGAATTTCCAATGTGTTATCAGTATGCTTTCATCCATCTAAAAGCACAACCCAATTTTTGGCTTAGTTGTCACCCAAATGTCTTTCAGTGCGCTTTCAACTATTTAAAATCACAGCAAAGTTCAAGTGGGAATACAATGTCAGCTATTTTGCTTATTTATACAACAGATTAATGTGGTATTACTGTGGTTCATCTAATAGCAGAACCAAATGGCCTGGATTACAGTTCAGATTACATTAACAGTAGGCTACATGGTGTAAGTGATCAATGCCGTTCGAGATTCTGCACAACTTATTATTGCAATTGTGAAGATCTCCACAGACCTGCAATTACCTATGCATGCTATCTTGAACATTCAAGCTTCATATGGTTACATAAGAAGACATTTATACACACAACCAAATATCAACATTTGAAGGACATATATATTTATTTTATATAAGGTACAAATTCAACATATTTTATAGAAGGTTTGTCTATGTTAATATTTGGTTACCATGATGACATAATCCTGTGGTTGAAATTTCACCCTCAAAACAACAGTTTACTTTGATGCCTTTTTTCAAGTACAATGTATTTTCCATGTAGATTCCATATCACATTATGTAAATACTTTGCTTTGACAAATGATGTTG